TAGCATGCTTTTTTCTCATATTGAAATTATATGCAGGTTTTTACCTAGGTGTTCACTGGATTGGGGAATATATCCAGGATTTCAGATGTAGGGCGAAGATGACACTGCCTGTTTCTCTGGAGAACATTTCACAATACTAATTGATAGCACTTTTCCTTATTAGCCTGGACTCAGTCCCACGTATTTCTCAGTCTGGCACTGCTGACAGCTGCCAACACTCTTCAATCACAAGTGGACCATTATTTGAAATGTTTTCTCTTCCCCAGAAACATATGACCATTATAGAAAATTCAGAATGTGGAAGAATGTAAACAAAGCCACAATATTTTATCATTCAGACATATTTACTGCTACCATTTCATGTTTGTATTTTTATACAGAAAGCTTCAAATGAAAGGGTACTCATATCTGCTTTATTGTGATTTAGGAGTATAAAATATTTTAACTTTTTAAAATATAATTGTGAAATATTTCAATCACACACTTAACCGGAAAAATACAACATATGGTAGAAAAATCACCCAGATTTAATGACTGTTATTGTTTGCCATACATACTTCAGCTTATTTTAGATGGAGAAAATGTAACAGGTACTTCTAAATTTTAACCTTTAAACCATGTGCTCTTCTTGTTATCATGGTAATTATGATTATCATGATAAATTTTGCATGTAATTTTTCTTTTCCTAGACTTACATGCCAAAATCTATTTATGACAGTAGTCTCATAAGGCATCATCTTATAATTTTGAAGCACTTCTATAATTGGTATTATATAGTACCCTAATTTGAAATTTCTTTTTTCACATATTTTTTTCCAATTCATCTGATGTCTATTTGCCTCCCAGTGGACAAATTTGAAAGTTTTTTCATGTACAAAGGAGTAAAAAATAGCTATTAGTTTATAGATTAAATATATTTATACTCCTGTGAGACCACCATGTCAATCCAGATGATGAACACAGCCATCATCCTGAAAAGATCCCTCATGACCCTGGCAACCCTTCCTCGCTTCCTCACCTTCCTCACCTCTACTGTCTCTTAACTACTAATCTGTTTTCTGTCAGTGTGATGAGTTTAGATCTTTTTGGAATTATGTATAAATGGAAACATACAACATGAGTTGTTTTTTGTCAAGCTACTTTCACTCGGCACAATTATTTTGAGATGTTATTGTGTGCATCAGTAGTTCATTTTGATGTACATTGGTCACTTGTCAACAGCAGTCTACTTCAATTACTGTTATATCACTATAGGAAGTTGATGACCAGATATTTTCATTTTCCACATCTCACTATTTCTTTCATTATGATCATGAATTGTACTTCTACATATGTTCAATATCGTATAACACATTGCTATTAATGCATAAATAGTAAATTATTTTAAAATATTAAAAAATAGAAATATATATGTACCTATTGATTTCATTTTATAATTATATTTAATTTTTCCATCTCATTTCATTACTTTTTGTAGATTCACATGCCCTTCATTGTGAGTATTTTCTCCCTAACATTTTTATAGTGTAGCTATGCTGTTAATTTCCCTACTTTGCTTTATATTACTCTTGTTTTGAAGGATATATAATTATAGGCTAAAAGTTTTTCTCTCAGAACTTAAAGTACATTGTCCTATTGCCATCAGTCTTACATTATTTCTGATGAACATTTATTGGATATTCTTCTTGTTTACTTTTTTTCTGGTGAGATTTTAATATTTTTTGTTTACATTTTATTTGTAGTAATTTTACAATAACATCCTTAGTTTTTCATGTTTTGTTTTTTGTCTTGCTTAGTATTTGTTGAGAGTCTTTTTTGGGTGTGATTCTGTTCTGCAAATCTGAAAAAGACATTGGCTATTATTATTATTTTTTAACCCACTTTCTCACTTCTTTCTTTTTGGGACTCCAATTATACATTTATTATGCCACTTGAGATGGTCCCACAGTTACTGAAATTATCTTTATTTTTAAAATTATGTTTGCTTCTGTACTTTGTCTCTGTACTTTAATTTGGATAATTTGAATAAACATCCTTCAAAGCCAATATATTTTCTTCTGTAGCCTTCAATCTTTTAATAAAGCTGTCCTGTGATTTTGTTTTTTATTTCAGATATTAAATTTTCAACTGTAGGAGTTTCATTTAGCTCCTTTGAATTTCCATTTCTTTTTTGTGTTTCACCATGTGGTCACTGAAATAGTCAATTTAGGCAATGACCATCAATAACTCATAAAATTTTAAAAGAAAAGGTGACTAGGAAATTCATTATAAGTGATCCAACTGACAATACATGAATCTACTAGTGAATCTTAGAAAAAATAAACTTTAATACTAAAAACAAAATGTGGGGGAAAAAAGGTATTTTATGCATCCAGAAATCATACAATAGGAATTACAGAGCATCAGCTATGGGAATTTCTGACAAATATGTAAAATTGCATCTAATTAAGTCTCTGCTAATTTATAGAAAATAAAGAAACATATTAAATCACACTATAGGATGCAGTTAGCAAAATCCGTAACTCTACAGAATAGATGGCCTAGTTTGCCCAACACATAAATGGAAAGGAAAATTAGAATCATGACACCTATGACTAAATGAGACTTAAAGAATGTATCAACAAGCTGCACTGTGTGGCTATAGTTAAATCCTGAATCAAAGATGTTTAAATATTTTTAATTTGAACACTAGTTGAATATTTGATTATATTAAAGATTTATTCCTTAATTTTTTTAATATTCAAGTTTGATCTTTAGAAGGTTATGTACACATAGATATATAGCATTTGTGCCCAAGTATGTGTGTATGTACGTATCTGTGTAATGAATTGTTTAAATAATATGATACTTGAAATTTGTTTTAATGTCAGAAAGTGGGTATGTACGAGGTCGGACAATTAAGTTTGTGAATGCATCCTAGAAAACTGCTACACACCTCATTGCTGAATATCACCACGGTCACCTTTGAAGTACTCCCCTTGGGAAGCTATGCCCCAACACCAGCGCCTAGTCCACCCTTCAAAGCAATTTTGGAACTCTCTTTCCGGGATGCATCAGAGCTGTCGTCACATTTCCCTTGATGTCCTGAATGTCATCAAAATGTCTCCTTTCAATATCTCCTTTTCTCTGGGTAAAGAAAGAAGTCATTGGGGGCCAGATCAGTTGAGTAAGGAAGGTGTCCCAATACAGTCATTTGTTTCCTGGCTAAAAACTCCCTCACAGACAGTGCTATGTGAGCTGGTGCATTGCCTTGATGCAAGAGCCATGAATTGTTGATGAAAAGCTGAGGTCATCTAACTTTTCCACGCAGCCTTTTCAGCACTTCCAAATAGTAAACGTGGTTAACCGTTTGTCCAGTTGGTACAAATTCATAATGCATAATCCCTCTAACATCAAAAAAGGTTAGCAGCATTGTTGCAACAAGTTCACGAATTTAATTGTCAGACTGCACATATAGATGACATGATACTGTCCAAGCTTTGATAATTTTGAAGTTGAGTAATGGTGTATAGATATTCATTATACTATTTTTTTCTATTTCTAGATATATGAAAATATCATAATATAAAGTTAACAAGAATGTCATTTGCTGAACATTATAGTGTACTTGTCACTGTTAGTGAGTTTATCAAATTTACACAAAATATTTTCTCATAAAGGAAACTGTATTTGTTTAAAATGTTTTTACCATTCTCTAGGTATCTATCTATCTATCTATATCTATCTATCTATATCTATCTATCATCATCTATATATACATATATGTATATACATATATATACATATAATTTTAAACAGCAGAAATTTTAATTTCAAATATTCAACATAAGGATGAAATTTATTTTCAATTTTCACCTCAGCTGAATTTCTTCATAACCTTCATTAAGTAAACTTGCAACAAAAAATACATCTGCTTGAAGGAACTACAGAGGGATGACACCCCATTTACAATAATGTGTTCTTTTTTAATTAGGTGTTTTTAACACACTTCCTAACAAGAGCAGAATACTTAAAAAAGTTCTCAAGGGACATTTAAAAAATATGTGAAGATTCAAAATAACATCATATAGAAAACTCATAACATGAATAGGAACTCTATGGTTTTTCTGTTGATTATGTTGTTAAACTCCATTGTAGATCTAACAGAATTGTTTTTCTCCATGAGTCCCAAACAAAATGCAAAGTTATTCAATTAAATATAAGGGTGAGAATGACCAGTCACTTCAGAGAGTCTGTATTATCAGCCTCAGTTAAATGCAAAACTCAGTAGGTTGAGTTTTTGTTTTAACATTTAAATAATAGAAGAAGCCTTTCATTTCTGTCTTACAGATTTTGACCCAGGCACTATAATTTTGTATTTATTTTCTAAAAATGGCATCATTTTTTTGTTAAGATGAAAAACATTTCATATCTTTCATAGTATAAAATGGTAAATATCTTGCACCCACTTTCTATTCACAAAGTGTTTTATAACATCAGCATAACTGATTATTATATCCCCCAGGTTTTAAGGTAAATTGCCATTTTGTTTATTTAATACTACATAAAATGATAGTTTGGAAAATTGTATGAGAAAACATATTTCTATTGAAAAAGAAGAGAAATTATACAATTTTCTTGCCCTGGCCTGACTATTGTTTTAATGGGATAGTGTTTTTACTGAGATAAACTGGAATAAGTAAGCAGGTTTAAAAAAAAAAAAGAAAAAAAAAGTCTATCTCAATGTCAGCTATCAATCAAGGAGATTGCCAGAACAACTTTCCAACCTTCAGGCAAATTTGACTACAGCTCAAAATGGACAGTGTGCCTCAGCAGAAATTTATAATTATTCCATTCAAATTATTGCTGAGCTACCAAATATAATCAGTTTAATTGAAAGATAAATTAAATGTGCGTTTTTGTTTCATTTTTATGGATGCAAACATATAATTTCTTTAGCAATTAAGTGAGAAAATGTTATTTTTAAATGTCAAGTTTTGTTTTGTTTCTTGTCCTTTAAGCATATGAAAGATACTTAAGCGTTAAAAGGATTAATAAAGGAGCATAAGATTTATTTTGCAACGTACTGTTCCCTCTGAAGAGCACCAGCTGGAATCAAGAGCAGAATGAATTGTTGTTCATTGCTACCTTTTATGCTGGGAATCCTTCTCCTATGGCCTTGCCTCGCTGCAAAAGAAAACTCTGACACAGAGGAAATGAAGCACCCAGCGGGGGCTCATCCGAGAGTGAAGCGGGGCTGGATGTGGAACCACTTTTTTGTACCCGAGGAAATGAACAAGCCTCATCATCACATTGGCCAGGTACTGCTTTTCTGAAAGTGTTCCAGGAAATAATATGGATAAATCCACATGAATGAGTTAAGGAAGTTTTGGTCTTTGACGAGTTCTTCATTTTCTCAGTAGGACCCTCAGAAAGCTTCAAAAATACCAGAGCAATTCATTGTATCAGATTTGCAAGCACCTAAAATATCCTCAAAAACTTCAGGAAGAGGGAAAGCTCTGATTTTCAAATTTCACTCTCGCCCCATATAAAAATGCAGCCCTCATGATGAACAGCTGGACATTTGATGGTGTTATTTTTGAGGATGGATTGAAGCAACCACACTGAAAACAATAATGTTACCAACAGTAGTTAGCCTAATTTTGGACTATGCTAAGTAGATGTTGATTTACCCCTCATTAGTTTTTAATGGAACACATTAATACCAAATCCTTTTACAGTTAAGTTGCTTCAAGAGCCTACATACTTTATTTGATTAGTGAAGCTGAGGACAAAGAATATTTTCATTTTCTTATAATTATTATATGTTAACTATATAATAATTATTTTCAATTTCATTAATGAGAAAGACTATTTCCTATTTATGTTTTTGTTATTATTATTATTATTATTATTATTATTAATTTTTTTAAACAGGGGTAACTACAATGGCATGTCCTTTTCTGTAAAGCTCTTTCTCTAGAATCTAGAGTCTAGATGAGTGAATTGAAGTAAGTGTCACTGCTAATTAACTGACACTAACATTTAATTGGGCCCAAAGGGTGAAGCACTCAACATTCATTAACTTTTTTTCTAGCCCTTTCAGGAGAGCTGCAGTGTTAGCTTGATGTCCGGAGTCCATAGGAGTTCACCTATCCTATCATCCAAATGTATATGAGAACATTCAACCATAGACTTAGATTAGGATCTTAGGCAAACAGAGTTCAAACGTGTGCGTGCATGCGTACATGCATGTTGTGTGTGCCTATGTACATGCATGGGTGTGTGTGTGTGCACATGTTCTCATGCCCACATGCCTGCTGAGTAGTATTTCTCATCCCTTTTTGTTTTCTAAGATGACCAACAGGTGACGAGTCATACGCAGAGTGCCGGCAGTGAGGTCCCGTAGCTCAGTGCTGCCACTTGAGTCTTCCTACCACATGCACAGTGGACACCACAGAACGCCACACGCCCTCCCATCACTGAATGGGGTGACAGGCTAACACGGGCTGCTGACTTTGCGTGAATAAGGCTGTGCAGGGAAGTGCATCAGTGCAGTCAAGTACGGGGACTCGCTCCTGGGCTAACTGTCACATTTTCTAGTTTTTCTTTTTCTGCTCCCCACGCAAAGCTCCCATTTTTTCCCTTCACACAGCAACTGGTTTCACCTATTGTTTTCATTCTGTAAAATGCTTTTGAAAGTATTTGACCAGTTATTTCCACCCTAAACAACCTCAATAGGGCTTAAATAACACAGATAACTGGTGTAAAAGAGACTAATAATAAATGTTTAGGTGTTTGTAATTAAATCACAGGTAAAATTAAAGGTAGCTGATGTGTCCAAGATAACTTTCTTTTTGATCTATTGGTTAAAAGAGGTTCAGTTTACAGAGCACAGTTAAGTAAAAATTTAAAGTCATATTGATTTGCCAAATTCATAAAAAACTGCCTAATTGAGAAAATACATTTGAATAAAAACACAGAATTTTTTATAGTACTAGAATTCATGAAATTGAAATGTGCTTAACTTAAGCATTTTGTGTTGAGGCAGATGTTAAAAAATATTTTTGCTTTGCTTTTTTTATTGAAACCTGGATACTTAAAAAGATCAAGCTCACTGATCTATGAAGATTATGCCATGAATATTTTTGAAATACATGCATTCATTACTAAATTTGACTTACCTTCATTCTAATATTGAATCAAATTTTCAACCTGCATTGAAATGACATTTGAAAATCTTGGGTCATATATTGCTTTATTTGATATATTTATTTGACAGCATATTTGTTTTCCTTGATTTCTTATTATTAGACATGGAGATTCCTATTTTTATTTTATGAGCAATAAAGGATTATCAAATTAAAAGAGCCATAGCTCACCATCATATTTTGTTATTAGTCCCAGTGTGTTTCTATTATTGCATAGCAGTGATATTCACCACATTATTAGAATTAGTTGCTTTAGATATATTCAGATATTCTTCCCAATCACATAGTGTGTGTGTTAATTAGTCCTGGATAATACACTGTACCTTGTGCTATTACAAACGTTATGAATTTAAGATTGTAGTTCCTTGTTAACTTTGTAAAATTTCAGAGCAGCTCTTACTTTGAAGAAGGACATAATCATAAGTGATGAATAAAGAAAACCATGCATTGATAATAATTGGGAGCTTATGGCATGCTTCCTCTATTTAAAAACAATTTAGATATGAAAAAAATGCACGATCAATGTTACCTATATCATAATAACCCTTGTTTTCATATATAAAATTCAAAATTAAATTAATACTGTGAATGATGCACAGATTTACTTTGCTTTTAAAAATAAAAAATAATGAGAACACAGAAATACTTATATTTGAGAATTGAGTAGAATATGCTTAGTGCTGGATTTTAATCTTAAAATTAATATTATACCTTATTTAATATAGTATGGGAATTATATGACATTATTAACTTGGGAAATCATGAACAGATATGAAAATAAAATCATTAACATTGACTTGTCCGTTTGGACATGTTTGGAAACTAAATTATATCTCTTGCACTTGCAGCTGAAATCTGACATAGACAATGGAAACAACTCTTTCCAGTACAAGCTTTTGGGAGCTGGAGCTGGAAGCATCTTTGCCATTGATGAAAAGACAGGTGACATATATGCTGTCCAGAAGCTTGATAGAGAGGAACAGTCCCTCTACACTCTAAGAGCCCAGGTAATAGACACCACTACTGGAAAGGCTGTGGAACCAGAGTCTGAGTTTGTCATCAGAGTTTTGGATATCAATGACAATGAACCACAATTCCTAGATGAACCTTATGAGGCCATTGTACCAGAGATGTCTCCAGAAGGTATTGCATTTAATTTCCATCAAACATATATTAACATTGAAAACAGATGTAAGATTTTGAGCATATGTTTTAGAAGTGAATTATTTCAAGTTCTACCTTTGTACCTCCTACAAATGTGTTAAGTAAAATATTGGAAAAATTAACTATTCCTTAAAATTTTGTAAGCAATGGTGCTACATATCAATTAGTTAGTTGTCTTGTTAAAATATAATTTCATCCTTCAAAACAATAGAAAAAAAGGTTAAACATGTTTATTTGAGTGAACTATAAAATTCTTTAGTTTGTTCACTGACTGGTTTCTTCACTATAAGAATTTGTTTTCTAAGATAAAATGTATTTTCTATCCTAAAAGAGCACAACCCTGAAAAATACACATTTAAAAATAGGAAAAGCCAATTTATAAGACAAAAATACTCTATGCATCAAAATGATGGAACACAAAGACTAAAAACATAATAAATTGGTTGAGTACCTCTATGCAGTTGCACACATTTTCAAGTTCCTTTTCAAATTCAGTATTAATTTTATAAATATTTTAAATATAGCAGATGTAGGGGAGAGTCTTTTCCATATGATATTTGAATTGACGACCATGGGAATCAGAAATGTCTTTCTAATAGGGGGAAAGTTTTAGTATGGAATGCCAAATTTGTCCACTCACTCACAGAGTCAGAAAATTTTGACACCACATATATAGCAAAACTCAATTTATAAAATTTACTTATGTGTGATAAACTTAAATGTGATTTAATTATTGTCATTGTTATTTAAATTTTGCTTACATGCTTAAAAACTGTTTTACCGAAGCGTATGATTCATTAGCCTTTCACTCTAAAAATGTATATTCCATTGTGCATTTTCCTGATTCTTTGTTATTTGGCATTCCAGGTAGCAATTTCAAGCCCTCTTTTTTACATGATTTCAGAACATAGGTCCTCAACTACAGCATGAAGAAAGGTAGCTGTGTAATGTGTATCAAGAGCAGTTATCATTTGCTTTAAATGATTACTATTAAAACACATTAATGTTGTTCTACTTGGTAGCTAGGTAACAAGATGTTTCTTCTTCCCCCTCAGTCCTCCTGCTTCTTGTGATTTTCCTCCCCCTCCTTCAACAGGCATATATTGATACTAACATGTAAGAAAACTTACATGTTCTCGTAGCTTGTCTTTGAGAGTGGGGATTCAACTAGAAAGGAGGTATACGAGGTAATTGCTAGTATGGAAATTATATTCTAGTTACAAGACATATGTTTAATAAACAAGGTAATAGTTGATACCTTATTTTATGAAAATGTTAAGTATGATGATGATTAATTGACTGAGGGAAGTGGGGACATGATAGGTGGTGATATTTGAAGGGAATGATACAGAAACGCATGGTGCTATGTTCTAGGGAAAGATTGCCATCGCAGGGTGACGAGAATTCCATCATGAATTACGGGAGTTGTTGGCCTGCAGGGAGCATGGCGGGCGTGATGATGGGTGAGGCGCCCTTGGAAGAGAATGTGGGTAGAGAAGAGAAAAGCATACATGGTGACTTGACTGTTAAGCAAATGGGGGCTGGCTGGTAAATTGATATGAATGGGAATGGCCAGTGATGCAAGAAGAGAAAGACATGAGAACAGAGGTTGCAAAAGGCCCTCCAACTGTGTGGAGTGCTTCTGTGAGGTTCAGTAACATCGAGACCCAGTGGTGCCTTTTGATTCAGCAGGTTGGCGGTTTTGGTAAGAGCCACCTGGTTGAGTTTGTGTAACTGCGCATGATGGAGATTATCCTATTGCATGAATGGTAGGAGAAGAGGAGGTGACAATTAATTTAGCCAACTATGCAGCAAGGAGAAAATCGAGATGAGAGGCACTAGGTAGGGAGAAATGAAGGTAAAGGGGATTTTTTTATCATCATTTAATCGTTGATTATGATGGGAAATTTAATAGCACAGTTAGATACAATAGAAAAACGATTCAATAGGAGAGTATTTTTTAAGCAAAACAGAAGGGATATAAGTGCTGGAAAATTGTTGTCGAGACTAGAAAGAGCCATGAAGTCTAAGGCAACAGTAGAGGGGACAGATTCAGGTAGGTTGGCTGATAATAAACCACCTGATAAGTGACTGTTTCCACTTTATCCATGAAGTATGAGACAAAGGCGGTAACTGAGAGCAGAGAGGTGCAACTTCAGCTAGAGAAGAGGAGGTACACAATGGCGATTTTGCGAAGTTGGGGAGCGGGCCCACCGCGGGATTACAGTGTGTGCAACACAGCATTTGTATGATGGCACCAAGTGTAGCCACTCTGTGGTAGATGGAATAGCGGTCACAAAACACGGGTTTGGTCTGTAGCACATTTGGCTTTGGCAGATGTCTTGATGCTTTTGCAGTTGGAGGATTCTATACATATGAACCGAGTCAACCTGTGTAATTTAATACATCCCGTGAAAGTGCCATACAGGGTTCAGGCTTTGTATGGGATCATACTAAAATCAATGAGCACTTTTTATGCCTGTCCATGGAAGGAAGGGGTCAGCTGAATGACAGTCAGCTGCTGTCACAAATGTTATCAAATGTGGAAATAGTGGAATATCCCTATTGCTCTGTCCACCATTTTATAGACAGTTCCCCTCTGAAAAGTTCTTACACGTATTAACTTTGCTTCAAAGAAACCAGTGAAAAATATTATATGTGATTTCTCTCAGTCACATATTTTCCTCCATCTCAATATTTAATTAATGAATAATGTAGATTCTTTTGCCTGAATATATCTTCAATTCTTCATCTTCTTTCTAGTAAATTGCCATTTAATAGGTTCTTGAGTGTTAATCTCGCTTCTAAATTCCCTACCCACCTATTTTATCTTTTACAAAGCAGTCAATGAAAACATTTTATTCTCTGCTATCTTCCTTAAATATATTTGTGTTGCACTGAAGTCTACCACCAATTATTATATTTGAACCTATACTTTGAACTTAGAATTTGTTGGAATACTGAAAGGAATTTACATTTGAGGATAATCAGAAGAGCAAACCAAGAAAACTACAAACTACATGTTGCTTATTTAGCAAATAATATTTATTTCCAAGTAATGATGGGCTTTTACTAATTTATTTTTTAAAATGCAGTTACTTTCACATTAGAACTACCAAGTGGAATTGAGATAAAACATTATGTTTTTCCACTTGTTAGTCTGGGTTTGCAAAGTTATTATTTTTCTTTCATATAAGATGTAGGACCTGATAGGCCAGGGGTCACACAGGTATAAAGTGATTAAGTTCTAGAGATCCAACATATAGTACTCTTACAGCACTGTATTATTTACTTGAAAGTTGCTAAACAAGTAGATCTTAACTGTTCTTACCACAAAATATAAAGTTGTGATTATGTGAGGTGTTAGAGGTGCTACTCACCTATTGTGATTATCATTTCCCAATACATATATATATATGTATCAGTTTTCAAGTTGCACACCTTAACCTTATATAATGTTATATGTCAATTACATCAATAAACCTGGAGTTAAAAAGAAAATCCACTTTAAAAATATTTATCATCAATATGACACAAATATGTCATGTTGTAGAGCCTTTATAAAAAGAGAGTAAATTCAATTTATGTAAAATGCTACAGATTTAGATAATTTCAATGCTTTGTTTTGTAAATTGTAATAAGCATTAACATGTAGCAGAGATTTCTCAGAAAAATAAAAATCTTTCTTAAAATACATCAAATATGAAAATCAGATTCTATGAAGCATCCTTTTGCACATATGAATTGAAAGCAATGGCGATTATGATGGATTACTCTTTATACTCTCTTTGAATATATTATTGTTTACTTTCTTAATTACAGCCCAATTTATCTCATTTAAATTTTCTCATATTATTAAAAGTAGAGATGTCAAAACTACAACCTAAGGATAATAAGGATGACTGAATTTTCAGGTGACTGTGGACAATAAAACAAAAATATTTGAAGACTACTTTGCACATTTTAGGTTGACAAGTGGGACAACATCTGTTTTTTGAGTTTTATGTGGAGGTTCTAGGTTGTAAAGTAATTGCATTTCAAATGTAAACACAGTAAGAATAGGCTAATCAATACTTGTAAATAAATAATAATCCTTGTACTAATAAAATAAATAGCGTGAAGGAGTAAGCAGATGCACTGATTAAACCATTATTTCCATCATAAATTTGATTTCTGAAAATTATACTTTTACCAGATCATCGAATGTCTTATGTCTGTTTTTGTTGTTACCAAAATCATAGATTCAGACTGTAGGTCCAAGTAATATTTTAAAATTTGTGCTGCTTTGAATTTGACAAGTCAACATCCTCTCAATAAATTTGTTTCAGGTTAATCAAAGTATACTTATATTAAAATGGCACATAAAATAGCTTTGTTATTAGACAATTTATATCTTAATTCTAAGAAAAGCCTGTTAGTATTTTCACCACTAGTTTTAAAACAAAATTTTACCTGGTAAAATAAATGAGTCATTTTGAAATCTACAGTTCAAATCTTGGCATTCAAACACTGTATTAAACTGTAGCACATTGTTTATTTAGTATTCTATAGTAGATGTAAACTTTACATAAAAACATATTCTTATCACCAGCTACTTCTGTTTTTTTATATGATATTAAATGAGTCTACTTATCAAGATTTATCACTCTTTTACATTTTTTATGTAAAAATGTAATCACTAGAAGATAAAGCATTCTGTGTGAAACATGAGACATTATCTAATACAATTTTGTTACTAGTATTAAACAACATTTGGGTGAGAATCATCAGTATTCTGTAATACTCTGGTTAACACTAAAATCCATATAAATCAACATTGACAGAGTTACATTATTCTTACATTAGGTTTTACTCTTAATGGGCAAATAGGTTTAATGTGTTGGCAAATTATATTGGTGCTGTCAACAATGCTTTCAATCTTCAAAAATTTTGTGTATTTTTGTAAGTTTTTGCACTTATTATTGTCACAGAAAGCATAATTTATATGCAATATCTTGTGTGCAATAAATACTTTACCGCAGATTAATATACCATTATTTTACTATAATATGCTATCTGTGTCATAACAAATGAAAAAGTATATCAGCAAATACAGATTATGATACAATAAACTATGATTTTTCTGTAAAGCACCTGCTCCAATTTTACATCTTGCATCACCTGCATAACGATATGTTTTTGCAATACAGTGTCTCTGATAAAATACGCAGTCAAATATCTTAAATTTAATTGCATAAAGGCATTTGGAAAAAGTAGCTTTAAGTTTCAGAAGCTGGCTAAAAAGACACTGATTTTAAATTTGCATTTATGAAAAAGACTCTCCAGGGTAATATAGGTAAATGATATCAACTATCAATGTACTAATAGAGCCCAGAGTTATTAGATTGAGTATTATATTTGTTTATTATTGGAACAAGTAAGCTGAGAAATTATCTTATTAAAATATGATTCTAAGAGAATATTTTCTGTAGTGAAACTTTGTTCACTTAACAGAATAGATATAAATAGATTGAAGAGGACTTTTAGACAGCAAGTGCAGGTATTTGACCTTACAAACAAGATGGCTGTCTCCAATCAAGCTAGAGTGTCTTGACTCAGAGATGCACACCGGTATATAAACCCTTCAGTTCCCAAGAGAAGGCTTTTTTTCCCACTTTCTGGTTTGTATTCTTTGCTAACTAAATTTCAAGGATCTAGCCAATTTAAAAATTTAAAAGTTGCCATCAATTACCCAATTCTAATTATAGGATGGTGTCTTAATGGCAGAATCAGAGGGATTAAGGGTGAGGCAATTCAATATACACATAATTAGAATATTGCTGCTTTTCTATACATGAAATCCTGGGTGTCATTTTGCATCATCATAGTTGTTCTGATGTAGTGATCTGAGCTCCAGTTTTACCCAGGGCAGCCCTGCTTAACCCTATTCTATTTTTGGCATCTTGTCCTGGAAGCATTTGTCCCTGACTTTTTATTATTTTTAAATATTAATAATAGGTGCATTACAATAAGCCACAGTGAATTTGGAGGACATCTGTTTCTTTCTTGTACCTTTTCCACAGGGTGTAAGTGTGTTAGAAAGCCTGAAGTTCTAATACTAAGAATTCCTTTTGATCAACAACTAACCATACAATGATTTTGACTACCATTTCTGAAGCTAAATACAGAGAGTCTAGTTTTGGAAACTAGGGGTGAAAAACCCCTATGGAAAGAAATGAAATGGAGACATAAAGAGGAAATGTAGGGAAGTAAATGGATGTGTACACAGAAGGGTAGTTAAAAGAATGTCTTGCCTACTACAAACCTATTGAATAGAAGTCCTAAGAAGGAGTTTCTTGGAATAACTCTTCACAATGACTTCAGGACTATATTAATTAATTAAGATAATTTACATATTACACATGTAAGTTTAAAGTATATGATGTGTTAATTAGATACATTTATATATTACAGTATGATTACCACCATAGTATTAGCTAAGCAGCTCCATCACGTTACATAATTATCATTTCTTTTCTCTGCTAAGACCTCTAAGATCTAGTCTCTTAGCAACTTTGAAGTTCATAACACAATATATTTGACTATCATCACTGTGTTGTGCATTAGCTCTCCAGAACTTACTCATCTTCTTACTGAAAGTTTGTACCCTTTGATCAACGTCTCCCCAAACCAACATTTTTATTCCTGAAGAATCAAAGAGCTCCCTATTAGAGTGTCTCAGTTTATAACATTAGACTGTAATGAAATAATTCACAATGCTAGTTGTAAAGAAAATCACAATGGCTATTCGATTTTGTGCCATTTATGTTGTCATTCTTGCTGAAACACAACATTCTGTTTTAATAAGTGCAGATTTTCAACAAGGCCCATAACGCTAGATTCCATAAAGATAATTTAAAAGCTTAATACTTTTAAAGAAATATTTTTAACTTGAGCATTAACTTTAAATGTACAAGTACTTATTTTTCATATTTTTATTAGTTGTTACTGGATTTTAATGAGCGTGCTTACCTTATCAACATCTGGCAGATTTTGCTTTGCGCTTTTTTAAAAATAAATCTTTAAACAGTAGGTATTTTTATAGAAGAGAATTAAACAGGAAAAAAATATAATAGTTATGCCCATCCTCAACTTGATACTATTTCAAGCTCATTTAAATAATCTGTTAATATTTTATCAACATTCCACAGTTTCTGGGGGTACTCACAATATGGTTTTTGAAGAAAAGTGTTTCCGATTAACTTTTGATTCCTCAGCTAATAACACACCTTTGAGAAATCCTGAATTATACATAGTAATGGATGGTGTAATAGTTTCATTTCATTATGTCATAGATCTACATGTTTAAAAATCTAAATTACATATGGGAATTGGAGCTATTTTGTATGAAGTTATATTCTCTTGTCTATACAGAGAGATATTATGTAGTTTTATAATTTAGAACAACATGGGCTAGTCTGCCATTGTATATCATCACTGTACTTGCTGAAGAAAGAATGCTTCACAGAACTGAATTCATTGTTCAACAAGACTGCGCTCTTACTTTCTTGTAACTGTTTCTTTTATCTTCAGGAACATTCGTCATCCAGGTGACAGCAAGTGATGCTGATGATCCATCAAGTGGCAACAATGCCCGTCTCCTGTACAGCTTACTGCAAGGCCAACCGTACTTCTCCATTGAGCCAACAACAGGTATTTCGGAACGAAACAAAGTGCAATTCAGCCTGATTCTAAGTAGGCAAATCTGAGAGCAAAAATTCTCAGCTTACAAACGTGTTGTACAGCGGACGTGGCGTTATACATGAATAAATAAATGGGATTCCATTTTAAACACTGAATTATTTTTAGTCTTTTAGCTGAATTCTCTAATGTAGAAAGATGGAATTTTACACACCCATATCACAAATAGTTTGTGTAGGGGGTATAAAACGTATGTAAGAATTCTTGCAAACCAATTAGAAAAATAGAGATGACCCAATTAAAAGATATGGGGAAAACACATTTCCAAGCAATTGAATGAACGTTCATATACAAAAATTCTGCAAGTGTATTAAAAATACTTGCTTCATTGATCATCATAGAAACTAACTGAAGCCACCAGGAGATGCACCTGCACACCCAAGCAGAAGAGCTGAGATTAAGCAAGAATCAATGGCTCAGTGTAGGCACTGGTAAGAGGCATTCCCTTTCAAAAAGTGTAGTTGTTTATTTTATGCATTTTTGTTTTAGACAAAAAAATAAATTTTCTAAACTTTCTTCTGCAATTTTCATTAATCAATACTTTATAAAATATGTAGGACAAACATTTTTCTCTTATTTTAAATATGTCCATTGAATACATAAGAATTATGTGACACTAATTCATTTTACAAATATTGATTGCCATGTTCAAAACAAAGATTAAGCCCATATAAGTCCTGCCTTTAAGAGCTTATAGACTCTATAAATAGAAAAAGAAAACCCACCCCACCTAAGTACATAACTAATGACCAAGAATGTGGCAAGAGTCCAAAGAAGGAAAATTCTATACTTGTTAATGAGGCAAATTATTATTTCCATCTTGGTGACATGAAAAGCTTAAGAATAAAGCACTTTGTTAGACTTTTCAACCTCTCTTATTGATTCATTCATATTGCAAATATTAAATGTCTCAGCCTTTCTCAATCATGGTTTCTTGAGAGAATTGGTTTCTGAAAAATACGACTTGAGCGGCTATATTCTTAATTCTCCCAAGGATGGTACTTAGCTTCCATTATTCCAGATGTACAGGACAAAAGCTATTTTCATGCATGCAATGGACTCCTTATGACAGTAGGCTTTAATTCCCTCGCACCATCTTGGTTGAGAATAGTTGACTATGTAACAGATTTTGTACATCATACTAAGCTTACAGTGGTATAACATTGCAAGTTTAACATAATAATAACAGAAACAATAACATGGACTCTTCTCTCTCGGCACTTACAAATATATATTAAACATGTGAATATTAATGAATGCGTACACTCAGTCTGTGAACATCACTAAGGGAAACACCCAAGGTTCAATGAGGGAAGGAAAGTAAGGACTACGTCAGAGTGCGTGGTCAAGGCTGATACCATGACGCCAGAATGAAGAGCTGAGCCCGAAGCCAATGAGAAGAGAGGACGGAAGAGAATTCCAGGTCATGGGAAGAGTGTATGAGAAATTACCGACACAGGAGAGCGTTGAAGCTCTCTAACGAGAGGCCAGTGTGGAAACGCACAAAGGAGGAGGGTAGAAAGTGGGACCTCTAAGGAATAGACACGTACTGGGCCATACTGGGCCTTCCTGACAATTTTAAACACTGTTGTTTCCCAAGTTAGTTAACGCTATTAGTTGCATTAATGGAGAGATAGAATGGACGGCAAGACCAATGAGAGCCAGGACACGGAAGTGGTGAGCTTTGGGTGATAAGAGGATCTAGGAATACACAGAGGGTGCCAAAAAATGGATACACATGACTTGTATTCATCTTTTGTTATCGGTATGTATTGATTATTACAATTTTAATCGTTTTTTTTCTTTTCTTAAGACATGTATACCTTTTTTTGGCACCCTCTGTATATCCTTTGTTCAGTCTGAAGGTGAGAAGTTGTAAATACAGTAAGCATATTTCATGGAAGCCCGTGCACATGGGGAGCCTGTACATTCTCCTCACTCTGCTTGACTGATCGCTATGCCTTTGGGTGTATCATTCCGAAAGCTCCAGTACTGTTCTCCTTTGCTGATATGAAACACATTTTGCTCTTGAGTCACTCATGGGGAGGTACTAGCGGCATCTGTTTAATATATTCAATAGTTTCCATACTGATTCATGTAAGAGATTATAATTGTGAAACACTTTAGTCCACAATTAAAATCTTGTCACAATGTGGTCCAGTTTATCCATTATTTTACTGATATCACAATTTTTTAAATAAATGCTTTTTTCCTGGACACATTTAAGGATTGGCCATTCTTTTTGTTATCTTTTTGTCATGTGTTCCCCCAAATCTTTAGGACTGCATCCCCCTGTCCTCTGAGCCATCTGAAAAGTTTCCTAGTTTTTGTTTGTTTGTTTGTTTTTGTGATGAATAACTTTTTAACTAATTGCTTTTATAGAAAGTGAACTTGTATCCATACTTATCATGGTTCATCTTCAGTTTGAATATCTGTGTATATATGTATTTCAGTGTTAGATTATGAATAACTGTGGGTGAAAAACCAACCCTTGTTTATACATCATGACTCAAAATATGCAAAATAGACATCACAGGTGGACAATATATTTTGCATAAATTTATACATTTACCCATAATGAGCTATCTTCTTCCAAGTTAAGAGGAAAAGTTAATTGTAGCACACTAATAATATGTTAGAGAAGATAGCAGAAAATAGATTGAGGTAAAAATAAGGCATTCTTGTTCTCTACCCATGGGTTATCTTAACATGGTATTTTATGAAGGGTCTAGTAGTGTTCTTAATTTTGTGCTGACACACTAAATTCTAGGCAGAGTTGTTAATTATAATTATGTTTTTTTTTTCTCCAGAGCAGTGTCTGGCATTTTGTAGTGGGTTCAAAACATGTCAAAAGAATGATTACATGAGGCCAGCCGAGTGGCTCAGTTGGTTAAGAGCTCGCTCAAGAGTGCGAGCTCTGAGCAACAGCGGTTCTATTCCCGACCTGATCTGAGCTGCCGCTGAGCTGCCAACAGGTGGCAAGAAGGCTCAGCTAAAAAAAAAAAGAATGATTACATGGTTGAATTCTTAAGAAATGAACTAAGAACATGCCATGGGTAATAATGAAATAATAATTGGAGTTTATCACATTTTTAAAGGAGTCATAAGAATATCTTCTCAGACGGATAGAGAACTGCAAGATGAGTATTGGGTAATTATTCAAGCCAAAGACATGATTGGTCTCCCTGGAGCACTGTCTGGAACAACGAGTGTACTGATTAAGCTTTCTGATGTCAATGACAATAAGCCTGCATTTAAAGAAGGTAAGTAGAAAGCACCTCAAATTTTTATTATAACGTAATTATGAGTATGTCGAATATGTGCATCTGTTCGTTCTCATTCTAAAACACTACAACAGTACTAAAATTGTATAAAATAAATCTGTTGATTATTCTAAAGTGTGATTATTTTCATTAGGGTGAAAAGTCAAATGCCAATGAGAAAGGCATATGTTATTTTTAAATTGCTTCTGTAACAATTCAGCACAAACTTCAGGCCTTAACACAAATTTAGTTATCTTAAAGACCTCCTTGCAGGCCAAGTAGCATCAGGCAAGGTGTGTCTGCAGGGCTGCGTTCCTTTCTGGGCTCCAGAGGAGAATCCATTTCCTTAGATTTGGGTGTTGGCAGAATTCACTTCATTGCGTTTGTAGGTTTAAGGTCTCTGTGTCCTTCGTGGCTGTGAACTAACTGGGGGTCATGGTAAGCTCCTGGAGGCCTCTTTCTGGTTCTCGTACTCGTACATAACCCACAGATCTCAGAAGCAGTGAAGGACATCACATTCTTTTCTCACTGCTATCTCCCTGACCCACACATTTGCTTTTCTTCTGCTTTTAAGGACGCATGTGATTAGATGGGCCCACTTGGATAAACCAAGACAAAACTCCACACGTCAAGGTCAGCTGAGTAGCAGTCTTAATTCCATCTGCAACCTTAATTCCCTCTTGCCATTTTAGTAACATATACATGAGTTCTGGGGTGTTAGGAAGCAGATATCTTTGGGAGTCATTCTCCTACCTACTACAAGTAATGGTTTTAAATGAATGTACAGTCATACCTTGGTTTGCAAGCATAATTTGTTCTGGAAGCAAACTACTCGTTTTGCAAGACATCGCTCATTTACCAAGTTAAAATGTATTAGAAATGTTTGCTCGTCTTGCAGAACACTTGCAAACCACATTACTCACAATCCAAGGTTTTAACAGGATAGGTCACACCTGCTCTGAAAATTTAAATAGTACAAGTTAAATCACATGCTGTGCTTCAGAAGGAATTTCTTGTTAAATTTTTGGGAGGATTTTCTTTTCTAAGGAGTTTCTTTTTCAGGGACTTCTGTCTTAGCTACAGAAACACATCTGCAAACATTTCCAGAAATCATGAGCAATTATCATGCTAGAAGGGAAATTTGAGATGCATGGAGCAAAGAAAGAAGCAGATCAAACACATACACACAGAGACACACACATACACTCACTCCTAAATGATGCAGACACTATTCAGTTCACTCAGTTTGCGCCAGCCACAGACCGATTAAAGCTCTGACTTTTTGAGAAGTATTAGAAGTCTGAATTTATGATTTCTGCGCTTTCATCCAATGTGCCTTCACATCTGCTTTTCCTATGATCTCACTGGTCACTATTTCAGGTTTCTTTCCTTCTCACCAGCTTGTTTCTGGCATCAAGCCTTGGGTCTCGTCTCTCTCTCTTCTACATGGACTCTTTGGTGTTCTAATCTAGCCATGTGACTTTAAATGCCTCCTAAGTACTGACAGCTTACACGTATGTACTTCCAGTCTGAAGCTCTCTCATGAATCCCACACATGTACAGCCAACTCTCTACCCAATGTGTTCATTGATCTATATCACATACACTTAAAGCTTGCGATACAATTAATTGTGTTCCTGATCTGCATCCCCCCTCTTCTGAAGCTTCCCTTCCTACAGATTTTCCCTTCTCACAAACAAATCCAGGCTTTACACTGTTCAGGCCAAAAATATCTCACCAATTCAATTCAATTCAATTCAATTCAAACTATCCAACTCAGATTGTGCAGGGCCAAATCCATTCCAAACTGAATGACTAATTATGGGGCTGCCAGGAAAGTCATGACGCATTTTTGCATTGAAACACAGAAAAATACGTCACAACTTTCCCGACGACCCAATAGTTCTGCACAATTCCTGCTAGTTCCCAATTTTCAATATTCTATGAGCATGTGTGCACGCACGTACACACACACACACACACACACACACACACACACACTAGGGATGCCAAAAATGTATACAAGTAGATAATTTGGTCAATGTTGCTCAAGCAGTAATTTGCTGTAATCAGAAGTGCCTGGATGCTGTTGGTAACCACTTTGAGCACCCTTATAATTGTGGAAGTTAAATATGACTTGTATTCATCTATGTTATCGGTATATATTGAGTATTACAATTTTAATAGTTTTTTTTCCTTTCTTAAAATGTGTATACATTTTGTTGAACACACACACACACACACACACATGAAGGGGTGGGGGGAGAGAGAGAGATAGAGATGGAGGGAGGGGGAGAAAGAGAGAGAGAGAGAGAGAGAGAGAGAGAGATTTAGAACATGTACCTGGTGGCAAGGGTGGGTATGGGATTTCCTGCAGTCTGAAAAGGGTGCTCTAGTTGGGGGACTCTTAAGTTAATTATTTATGCAACATATCTTGAATTTTGTTTTTAAAGGTTTACACCGCATGACTGTCTCTGAATCTGCACCTACTGGCACTTTTATAGGAAAAATCAAGGCATATGATAAAGACATTGGAGAGAATGCAGAAATGGATTATAGCATTGAAGATGATTCACTAACATTTGACATCATTACTAATAATGAGACCCAAGAAGGCATAGTTATATTAAAAAAGGTAGATATATTAAAATGATTTGCTTTGCAGAATAATGCAAAATCAAAGCAGAAATACTTACAGTATTTCGTGTAGCCAGTTAGTTTTTGCTTTATTAAGTAATAGAAATGAGATCTTGTCATTTATAGTTTAGGGAGACAAAGAGTTTAGAGATGAGAGATAGTTATTACAGAGCTTCTTGAATTATGTGTTTGCACAGTCTTTTAAAAAAGATTTCAAATAGAGGACAGGCTTTTTGAAAAGATCTTAAATGACAAGAAATTAATTCACAATTCCAAAAGATACTTATGCCCAGACAAGTATAATTTTGAACCTAAATTAAAAAATCTAGTGATTATCCCAAAATATTTTATAATAGACATAAATACCAAAATACACATAGGGATTTGCTATGCTGCTTAATGCTAGTATCAGAGGAATCCAAGTCCATCAAAAGTAAACCCAAACAGAAACAGATAATTTGACAACTTTCTAAGTACAGTAATACCTTGGTTTGCAAGCATAATTCGTTCTGGAAACAACTACTCGTGTTGCAAGACATCGCTGGTTCACCACCTTACAATGTATTAGAAACATTTGCTCCTCTTGCAGAACCCTCATAAACTACATTACTCGCAATCCAAGGTTTTACTGTAGTGCCTTGGATACTGAAGCCATGTCTTCTGTGCATGCTGTTATTTCTTTGCAGAGAGTGGATTTTGAGCGCCAGAACCAGTATCTTATCCCAGCAAGAGTTAAAAACCGCCATGTCGATGAGCAGCTCATGAAATACCACGCTGAAACCTCCACCACCTTGATTAAGGTCCAGGTGGAAGACGCTGACGAACCTCCGGTCTTCCTCCGCCCCTATTACATGTTCGAAATCTTTGAAGGACGCCCCCACGGGTCTTTGGTGGGCATGGTCTCTGCCACAGATCCAGATCAGAGGAACTCTCCTATCTGGTACGTCTGGAAGGCCAGCTGTGCAGGAATGAGTGAATGGACACCCATTAATTTACATATAAAATTTCAAGCAAATGTCACTACGATATATCTGTATTCCTTTACGTGGCATGTATCAAATTTGCAACAATTTAGACAAGTTAAAATAGGGAGCCACACTGCTGGTTAAAGTGCAGTAAAATACGTAATTGCAAACATCTGAGAACTAGGTAACCACCAAGTAAAATTCAATGCAACCGATTCTAGTAATTGGGGTAAGGAGGTGCAGGAAAAGAAACCCTTAGTATGCCAAGTCAGAGAAGTAACAAAGCTGATCCAAATGTGGTTCATTTAAATATTCTTTAATTAAATGAGATTCAAAATTGAGAAAGCTTTTTATGGGATACGACTTCAAGGAGTAAAAATAAATCTAATTGGTTAGAAATAAATTTCTCTGATACAATTAAACAATAATTTCCGTTATTCAGCTAGTCTGTTAGACTCATGTACTATATTTTCTTCTGTCTTTTAATATTCAAATTGTAGGTCTGCTTAGAAATAAAATCAAAATAAGTTAACTTTTTGTCCCACCACCTCCCCTTACTCGTCTATTTTCTACACTTCACAGTCCAGAGAATTACACAAACCTCCAAGCATTTATTAAGATGTTGTCTCTGCTGTACTCTTTGGAAGGGCTACAGATACAAAGAAGGACTTTCTTTAAATTTTGAGACAGAAGGATGCTTGCACTTCTCCACTGTAATTTCTAACCATAAAATACTGCCTTCTAATATATATATATATATATATATATATATATATACACACATATATATACACACACATATATATAGTATGTATACATATATGCATATGTATATATATACAATTTCTTATTTAGTTATAGTAATTTTAGTAATAAATGTTTATATGTAATATATGCATATAATTATAACCCAGTAAATCAGTTGTTTAGATTTTTAAATAGTTTGTCTATTAACCCATTTATCTTAGAATATAAAGAATATATAATTTTAAGAGATACTTTAAAAAGTAAGCTGTATATTATATTATCATTTATAATAATACTGTGTTGAAAACAATTTAAATATTAAATCTTAATGGTATATATAAGGCAAAGAATGTTGAATGATGTACAACAATGCCTATGAACATAGATAAAACATGGCATGATTTTAAAAGATAATACAAAATTATTTCAGTTGTATGTTTACTACAAGTAAGAATATTATGTATATAAGAGACAAATAAGGAGCCACACCTTAATATTAACAGAGGTTGTATTTTACAGCATTACTTCTGGCAGTTACTTGTTTATATTCTACCAAAAAAATTTGTACTAGCAATTTATGTCGTTATAATAAAAATTAATTACTTTTGAAAATAGTTTGTGAGCACCTATCAAAACAATATATATTTTAATGCTTTTTCTGCATATTCTTTCATTTAGAAGTGTCTTTTAAATAAAGTTGCTTTTCATATATTAGGATCACAAAATTTTTTCCACTTGGTAAAGTTTGAGTTAGCAAATGTTCAAAATATATAATGAAAACAAAATTAGATGTATATAGATTTGGTTTTCATGTGCCTCATTTTCTTCTTCTTTGAAGTGGAAAGTACTTTCATAGTCATACAAGCATTAAGAACAAGATATAAAGGCATCTGGAGAAGCATGCAGGGAAGAATCACTTGTTTATTTCATTCTGGCAAGAGCTGTTAGCAATGAGAAAACATCACATAGTCACATTTTATTCATTCAGCATTTTTAGAGGAATGAATAGTCTGTAAAAGGAAATTTGAAGTGAACCAAAGATTAATCTTCTCTAAGCATCAAAACTTCACACTCTAAGCTTTTTTAGCTGAAGCTCCTTCTAAAGTGTTTGCAAACATATTTGCTTTCTTAAATTGTGTGTATTGACTATTATTTAAAATGTCACTGCTGACTCAAGATCATAATTATTAAAAATTTTTATTTGGAAATAAAACTCTCTAACTTTTGAATTGTTTTATTTGGAATAGTATATTATAGAAACTGGATATTCTAGATATTTAATACGAAATATTAACTGTTAAACTACTGTTTCATTTTGTCAAGAAATCTCTTAAGTGGAAAATGTGACCACTTGTGAAATTGTAAGTAAATTGCTTATAAAAGTTTAAAAATGAGTAGAGTTAAAACTGAATTCCTCTAAAGCTTAATTCTTTTTAATTTCTATTTTAATTGTCCCCAGAACACCAAGCTACAAATTAGTGACATTTTTAGACACCTGTCAATTCAAGTTTAAAATAGTCTCATCTTTTGTCACATAATTATGGGAAACCTCATGGATGTCTCATCAAAGTCTTCCAGAATATCCCTGCAATGAGACACCATCACTGAACCCTAGTTATTACTCTTTTTAAATTTTTATAATTAATCATTTGCAAGCAGATAAGACATGCTGAGTACTTCAAAGGCTTCTGTTATTGTGGAGCATTTTCCAGGCTTTTGCAGGAGGGAATTTTATTCTCTGACTCCTTTACATACATGATCTAATAGCACCTTCGATATACTTTCCTTACTTTTGAGGAAGATAGGTAGATAGATGATAGATAGATAGATAGATAGATAGATAGATAGATAGATAACAGATATAGATGTAGATTATCTAGACATAGATATAAATATATGTAATAAATAAATACTTTATTTTATTAAATGGTATCAAATTGTTTCCTTTAAGCAAACAAAAACAAGCATTTTTCATATGTCAGTAATCAATAAATTATAATCTGATGCAAACAACTATGTGGTGCAGAGAAGATACTCAGAGCATCCAGGCTGATAATATGCTTTATGTTGCTTCAAATAAAAAACAAAACAAAACAGGTTCTCAAGTATTACTTTTTAAATCCATTCATTTGGACTTATCCTCGTTTTACAAATGACACTGTATCATTTCTTTTTAACCAAGTTATTCACCTATTAAAATTCTCTCTTGGGAATGAGAATGAGTGACATGTGTTTAGATTTAGCATACATCAATTTAAATCCGAGGCCATTTTAGTTAGTTAGTTTGTTTTTTTCTAGCTCTGCTGAGTTGAATCTCCAATATAGTGATGTGCCTTTCTGAAAATTGTTCAGCAATAAATTAACTATATGCATTTAACGATCTGTCTTATTGTTTAAAAAGGCTGTTATGTATCAGTGTTATACATAGAAAACATAAAATTAAGAATTTTTATTTTAATTTTTTATTTTTGGGGTACAGGTATTCTATTACCAGAAGCAGAGTGTTCCGTATCGATGACAATGGCACCATCATCACAACTAACCCTCTTGATCGAGAGACTAGTGCTTGGCACAACCTAAGCATTATAGCCACAGAAGAATGTAAGTACTCATCTGGGAACTGCACGTTGGTTCACCAAACTTTTTAAACCATTCAAGAATCTCTGAACATAGGGACAAATGCTAGCTTAAAATATTATTGGGATTAGAGTTAAATGATAATTTATGTCAATTCATATATATGTATTTTATGTTATTATTTTAAAATAAGAATATATGCTCATTTCTATTACAGCTTATTAGTATACTTACTACTAAATATCTTTAGCTTTTTTATGACAATATATAATGTTTAGTGCGAGAAATAAATCATTGAAAAACACAATAAAACAAAATATCCCCTGAAATTCTAAAACATTGTTATGTAGTTGTATATCTTTATAATATTTGTCATGATACATTTTTATATCAATTTAGAAAAATTGAATATAAATTCTGCAAGTTTTTTTTCAGGTTTGGCAATATTCTATATGGGTTCTTTTTGAAATTATGAGTTTAATGAAAAAAAGAAATTTTTATGTACATTTCAGAAATATATCCACTCTTAAAACAGCTATGAGTAGAAAGAAATTATAATAATTTTATAGGACTCTCTCCTTTAGAGCAAATTTTTTAATTTAGAGAACTGTTTAATTAATGTTACACATTGTTTTACTACTATACAAGTAGTAATGAAACTATTGACTTGGAATTAAATTGTTTAATTTAAAGTACTTTCAAATTGACTAGTAATATTGTACCATTTAGTCATAATCAGGTTAGACTGACTCAGTACAGGAGGAAACTGTTCTGGCATCAAACACAGAATTCCTGTGTCATGTACTATTTCTAGAATGAAATGTTAGCAATATTCTTGGGCATTAGGGACAAGGTGACATTTCAGGGCAGCCTTTTAAAACTTAGTCATTTAAAAATAATCATATTTCAATGAAATTATGGGAAATTATATGAAAGATTCAAATAAGAAGCATTTATTGGGAGTCTGTATCACAAAAGCAATTATGCATCAAATGAAAATCATGTTGTCAGTTGTGCTGATAGTCACATTTTTAATAATCAGTCATGACCAGACCAGTGTTTTGTTTTGTTTGTTTGTTTGTTTGTTTTTTCAGAAATAGGAGACAGATGATTCCATTTTCAGGTTGTAAAAAGTAGAAAAAATTATTCAGATTTATCGCTTGGATAATGCCTTGAAAATTATCAATCAATTAATTGGGTTTTAAATCAATCATATTAATTCGAGTTCAAAGGAATGGATATAACACTATATAAGACTTTCAAATTATTCCCTCATTTAGTCAATGGATTTAATATGCTACAGTAAAGGGTTAAAATTCTAAAAACACAATGTTCTAGAATGCATCCTTTCACACCTGATTTTACATAATTTTTTAATAATCTTGTCTACTTTCTTGGCTTTATTTTTGAAAGCCTTTGCACATGTATCTTATTCCTCACTTTGTTGAGCAGTTGGCCAGTGAAATGGTGGGGTGGAAAGCATGTCTTGAAAAAAAATTTTATATATATATATATATATATATATATATATANATATATATATATATCATGCATCAAATAGCTCTATGGAAATATTGCAGGGGAACTGGGTTTTGAATTTTCCCATTAACTGAAAAATAAAAGATGGGAGCAAACATTACAAGGGAACAAGTGTCTGATGCCACAGAAGAAATGTCAAGGAGTTTGGCTCAGAAAACACAAAGATGTTTATTCTAAATGCGAGGAGCTTGTATAGATTGGGCATTTCTGAGAACAGATTATTTGTAATGTCACTATTTACAAAGCTATTGAGAGAAAGAATTCAAATAAGTTCAAGAAGACTAGACATCTTTAAAGAGAGTCTTTCAGCTAAGAGTCTAATAGCTTTCAGCTATTAAAAGAGCATACTTTATTGAATTTATATAATTATCCACTGTAAGCTTAGTTAATATTCAAGGTGGGGTGATTTGTAAGAATGCATCATTTAGTTTTGTTAAAGTAGAAGTGCTAATACTTGAGTTATTAGAAATAAGAATCTTGAAAATTTATTATGTGTACTCTGAGATACCAAACATTAATCTATTATGAATTAATAGGGAAAAAATGATGAATAAATGGTATGAAAACTTTGCAAGATAATTTAATTATATCTGATCCCGTTAACTACTTGAGTACTTTTTATTAGCAGGATGTCAGGAAGATCTCTAGAGAAACATTGAAGTATTTATTTCATTGCCTTCTTTTAATATGGTGGGAATAAATTGTAGCATTACAAAATGAAACAAAAACTGCCCAGATATTTTTGTTGCAAGATAGCTGCTGTCCATAAAAATTACTAAGTCACTGTATGTATGTACATTTACATATATAGCATAAACAAAGTATATGGTGTTATAAATATTATAATTATGTCATTATATATTGTATGCAAAAGTGATATCCAAATACAGAGGGTGCCAAAAAATGTATACACATTTTAAGAAAGGAAAAAAAAACTATTGAAATTGTAATACTCAATATATACTGATAATGAAAGATGAATACAAGTCATGTTTGACTTCTGCAATTGCAAGAGGTGCTCAGAGTGGTTACCATCAGCGTCCAGACACTTCTGATGACGACGAACTACTGATTGAGCAACGTTGACCAAAGTGTCCATTTGTGTACATTTTTTTTGGATCCTCAGTATTTAGAGACCAGCACAACAAGAGTAATGAGAGGTAACTTTAGCCCTTAAGTTCTACTGCTGCTTATCAGCTGATCAACAGACTTCACAGTATTCATAGCAGTAAGGGGTGTATGCGTGTGTGTGTGTGTGTGTGTGTGTGTGTGTCTGTGTGTGTGTCTATGCACGTGGGTGTCTGTGTGTGTCTGTGTGTGTGTCTGTGCATGTATGTGTGTACACATATACTATTCAGAAAATAGAACTGTTTCAATTCATTGTTTACAAGATTACTTATTACATAGGTTTATCCCGAAGACCATGGATATTGTAATGGTCTATATGTCAGAGAAAATAACAAACAATAACAGCAATGACAGTAAAAAACTAAGTATCATTTGTGGTTCACCCAAATAAAAAAGTCCTAGCTTTGTCACTTCTTAATTGTTTTTTCAGATGTTTATTTATAAAATGTCTATTTTGCAAGGTGGTATGAGTATTGGTGAGTTTTGAGGATTTACATTTTATTAAATATTTTACTTTTATTGACTATAAAAGATTATTGCAAATACATATGAATATAAAAGTAAATATATATACACACTTTGTCAAAATCTTTGCATATAATGGCATTTTAAAGCTATTAATAAAAATTTGAAGGAAAACATTATTCCTATTTTAGAATTCAGAAGACAAGTCTAAAACTTCTGAAATTTATTTTTCCAACTCGTACGTGATGAGGCCTGGAATCAATTACAATCAATGATATCTGATTGCAAAGTGTATGTCTTAACCCTACGCCCCGCTATGTCTTACTGAGGCTATGAAAAATTACACAGCTGTCACTTACTGTATTCTGATTTATATATGCATAATAATCTTCACAAGGCCTTTCACTTTTTTTTTCATTTTGCTCCTAAATGACAATAGAGTTTAGCTACAAACTTATTTCAACTAATTACTCAAATGTAAGCTTTCGATCTGTTCAGGTGACTTCATCACAGCCAGTCAGTAATCTCTGCAAATATGTTAGCTAAATTCCCCTTTGATGCTGATTGCCTACGACTCTGCTCTGAGGTGTGTCCTACTCATTCTGAAGTGTTTGCTTCATCCATGTTCATATATCAGTGACAGCGTGTGTGGCTAGTAATGCTACGAGTGGTTTAAGGGGAGTTCAAGAGATGATTAGATTTTCAAATAGATTTTAAAGACCATGGCACTATTGTGCTTAAGTATGTTAAAAACATATAGGTTTTCTTTTTCAAAATGAATTTGCTCTTGAAACAGTAAAGCCATAATGTATTTATTATTTTATATTTCAAAGTTTTATATTTGAAGACAGCAAAACAAATTACATGTGACATTTTAAAAAAATAAATTAATGGATCTGAGAATATTTTAGTTCTCTTGAGGAAAAGCAAGTAAATCAGCCTTCAAAGTGAATTCTGAGGAAAAAATAGAATAAAACATGAAATTTAATAAAAGTAGATATGTGCATTTAGATATAGAATTTCATAAAATGTGATTAGATCAAGGTTGAAATTACTACATTGAAACAAAGTAACTATTTTGTAAAATTTCAAACTTAACATTTTGTGAATTATAAAATATTGTATTAGAAGAAATAATTTATAAGTAAAAGATGATTTAAAATGCAATCAAGAGAAAAATTTTAAATGCCTGTCAAAAGCAAACTGAATATAAGCTAAATATATTTATGTTACATAGAATTTAACCCTTAGAAGTTAATCACTATTTCAGAAATAAATTATTAGGAATGTTATTAAGTACAAGAATTATACAATTCATGCTGATCTCCTGGTGCTATAAAATTAGTTTTCCTAGAATTAAAAAAAAATACTTTTAGACAAAGTATTTTTCTGATAATCTAAAAATACAGGCACCAATAATTGAACTAAAAGTGTTTATTTGGGATCAAAGGAATTGCATTTCTGGATGTACAGATTCAGGCATAAGCCCAAAGCATATCCTCCACCTCCACCCTGCAGGAGAGAGACTCAGGGTCTTTGTCAGAAAAAGAGGAAGATGAGGTAAATTGTATTAAAGAGGTCCTAGGTGCTAGATGAGGTAAGGTTAGGTTTGTACGTTATAAACTGTTTGCGATTCAGTCATTAGGCAAAAGGCTCGATTTGTTGGTTAGCAATTGGGTCATTGGCAAAGTCCAATTTCATCAGCCCTATAAACAGAGTATTCTCATCCTTATTGATTTCATGGAAGATTGGTGGTTCAGTCCAGTTTGGAAGACCCAGAAAACAAGGTGTACAGGGCAGTTTCTCAGAAATGACTACACTAGCTCTCTTTTAATATGGCTCCACTCATGTCATCTTCCAAATTCCCGTTATTATTATCATCATATACCTGAAAAGCTACAGGATGCAAAATGCAATTCTAAAATGAAATAATTAGATACATATTCTCAGACCCACATAGTTAACATTCATTGAATTCATCTTTGAAGAGATATTTTTGAGAAAAATTTGTTTCATTTTAAGGGAAACTGGTTAGAAAGAACTTCTGTAACACCGAGTAACCAATTTCCATAGTTTTTCCTCTCTTGATTTTTTAAATGCGTATAATTAAACTTATTTTAGAACAATTTTGGAGAAAATATTTGTAAGTGCCAATTTCTTATTACTGTGATATCAGTAGTAAAAAATAATTGTTTGACCATTCAAGTCTCAGCAGTAATATAAACAACCACCTAAATAGTGGAAAACAGCATGACATAAAATTCTTTTTAAAAACACTTACTGCATGGGTTAATTACCTAGAAGCTTCCAACATAACAGTTATGCTGATTATAGGAAAGAGACGTTCCACTGTGACATGTTTTTCCAGCAAATGCAGTTACTAGGCTTAATCTCTTTCCTGGAAAATGTCCCAAATTAAGCAACAAGCTATTTATTTGCATGCCAGCTAAGTGAATGAAACTACTAACTGCTCTAAAAGGACACTGTGAAGATATATGTATTTTTTAATATAGTCATGCCAATGGATTAATTTGAACATAATTTTAAACAGATTTCTTTGGAACAAATGATAAAAAAACTTTAAGTGAAGTTCTTGCTATTTTTCTTACATTTATTTGTATCTGAAATACTTTTCCACTTTGCTTAGCTAAGAAAAACGTTCTGTGGTGATCTATATTTAAGCCATTAAAAAACAAGCCTTAAATTTTGATTCATTCCACCTTGAAATCTCTAGCAATATCTTTTCATATTTTAATATTTTATTTATCTATTTTATCCTGAATATAACACAATAGAGAAGAGTCTCAAAACATCTCTTAATGGTTTATGTATTTCCTAAAGGCTATGGGTTTTTCGTTTTTTTTGGTATGTCTGAAACCTTGCAATTTTAAATTTTTAATTAAATGAAAATTGCAGTTTCTATCATAATTGCAATTGTTATTTTTTGGGAAAAGTAGTTAGAAACAAAATATCATCCCAGCCCAGAAAAACCTTTCCACAAAAGTGGCATTGAGGTAAAACAGCTTTATAATTAAGAAGCATTAAAGCAGAATTAAATGTGCACAGGAAGTCCACTCAGGGATTGCCAAAAACAGAGAGAAATCTCAACATTTTACAGAGCTGGCCAGGTACAACCTACTGCCTGCATGTTCTCAAGATAAATAATTCCCAGCCTTCATTTGCAGGACTTACCACCAATGTGTCACACGTAATTCATCTTGAATTCACTAAGTAGTTGGAATGACCATCTGTGTTTGCTAATTGGCGTCATCCAAATGAAAAACTCAGCTTTTCATACCTTTATGAGCACGGGTAGTTTTGTACTTTGGGTCGAGGCGTTTGCTGAAGTTTGGCTCCTACCTTCCCACAGAAACTGGAAGGAAGGAACACCACCTTCCCTGATAATTGTGTTTCAGAGCTGGCTCCCAAACCTGAGAAAGACAAACCTGGGTCTTACATTTGGCAAGAGGTTTAGTTAACATTTTAAAACGTTCACATACCTTTCAAAGATACAAAGAACTTACTAGTTTTCTAAGGTAAATGTTCTTAGAAGAAGAGCAGGAAAGTCTTCTTCCTTATTTTCAGCATAGAGAATTAAGGCCCTTTTTAAAAAAAATATCGTCTTTGCCCTTAAAAAACTACAATTGTAAATATAATTATTTTCCAAGAGCAGAAGAGCACTTAGATTATAAATAAAAGCGTTAAGAGAAACAAAGAAACCTCCTTCTTCTTACTCTGTAATTGTATGTGTCTTTTCCACAGTATTTTTAAATAAAAAGAAAATGATTTAAAAGAATGTTATGCAAGTATAGACTATATTATGCTGCAACTTACTTTTTTATCATTTCACAAAATATCATGTATACCACTTCTGGTTAGTAGACAAATAAAATAATGAAATTTAATATTTATTGTTTATTTATATGCTAAGTAATCTTCTAAATGCTTTGTATGTATTGATTCATTTAAACACTATAATAGTTCTATAAGGTAGTTACTAGTATAATTTCCATTTTTACAGAGAACCAACTAAGACAAACAGTAGTTAAACATTTTTCTCAAACAGAACCAAGATTAAAATCCATTTTTAAAGGTCACAATATCCATACATTTACTATGGTGACTCATTCATTTTTAATAAGCACACAGAATTTCATAGTATGGTTATAATTTATTTCCCCAGTTCCCTTTTGATAAACATTTGGGTTATTTCCTGTTATTTGGATGTGATGTAAACAATTCAGGAATAAATAAATGAACTCCCTGTGCCTTATATACTGGTGCCTTGAACTGTAGTAAAAGTTTCCCAAACTAATTACCGAGGTAAAGATACGTGTAATTTAACTTTTGTTATCTCTTGCTAAACGAGGTTCTATTATAAAAGGTTTACACCCCCATTGTTTTGCAGCACACCACCATCACTGGCTCTGTTTTTCATATTTAACACAAATGGCATGGACTAAGTCATTATTTTCCTCACTTCTGGGGGGCTAGAGCCTCTGTGACTATTACAGTGCAGCATACATGTGAATATGTATGTGAATATGATGGTACAGCAGCCTGTCTCCACTGTGGACAGTTTTGCCTCCTGGGACACTTGACAATGTCTGAGGACAATCTTGGTTATCACTAGTGTGGGGATTGCTATTGACATTTAGTTAGTAGAAAGCAAGGATGCCGCTGAGCTTCTTAAGTGCACAGCAAATCCCCCCAAACAAAGCATTATCCAGTCCAGACTATCCTTAGTGACGAGGTTAAGAAAGCCCGGGATGAATCATTTGAATTTTCTCATCTGTGAGTTTCTAGTTTGGGAGTAGTTCCCATGAATTGTCTTTTCCATATCAATTCTCAGGATTTGAAATTAAAACTGTTACTATTTCATCTTGTGATGCAAACATTTTTTTTCAGATTACTGTTATTTTGTTATTATTTTGGCTTTTTAAAAATTGTTTTTGTCGTTTAAATAAGGTTTTTAACCATATTTTCCCATTCCTTTATGGTTCCTGTATTTCTTTGCCCACTTAAGAAAATCCTCCCAACTGAATATATATCCCGAACTTTAGATTTTATTATGATTATTTTATTTTATGAAATGTATGTAGATCATTACTCCTTGCCCATTTTTGTTTTAAAAAATTACAGTGAATGATGGCAGCATTAAGAGCGCTGAGTGCTGGCTTCTTATCTGCCTTTTCCACGTCAACTATGACCTGAGGCAAGTTATTTATCTGTAATTTATGAAACAGAATGGTGTCTCAATGTTTTTATCAGTAAATTTGGGGAGGATACTGGTACACATATCCCTCAGAATTACATGAATTAATACAAATCTATCCAACGGTTCCTGGAGTTTGGAAAGGTGTCTGTAGACCTGACCACCTTCTGCACTCCCTTCCTCATGAGCTCCTACAGCCAATGGCAGGTACAAGGCATCAGGTAAATATTGGTGGAGTTGAAAGTGTTAAGTGCATTTTTTTCTAGGCTGCATTGTTGATAAATATATGAATTATATAGTGATCCTGTCCTCAGATAGCTTTTATTCACGTAAAATAAAAAGACACCTCATAGCCTCTAACACAATTTTTGTGACCTTTTCCCCCGAGCAACATCATTAACATTCTTTTAATTCTGTTTATTCACTGTACAGACAACGTACAACAGATTTCTGCAGTTCCTGTGTACGTGCAAGTTCTTAATATCAATGACCATGCACCTGAGTTCTCTGAATATTATGAGATTTATGTGTGTGAAAATGCGGGCTCTGGTCAGGTAAGAACTTGTAATAAATTGCTGACATCTAAATGACGTTATATGTTATATATAATAATTTTTGCTATGCATGCCTCCCATTTTGAAATGATGAAAATAAGTTTTATTAACTATAGTAATGACATGCGTTTATGTTGTGAGTACTTAAATTTCTTTTAAAAAACTAACAAGCCAGCACACATTGGTAGTGTTGTTTCTATGCAATGGTCGAGTGCACACATACACTGTGTGTCTCATTCAGAATCTCTTAAGAAGGAATTGTAATAGATACATAAGATGTCAGCGGGGCAATAGATTGGGGGAGGGGGCTTATCACTTTGTGAGGGGTGAAATGTCTAACTGTTATAGTGTTTTGTATACCAGAAACTAGTAATAATAAAAAATAATAATAATAAATAAAAGATAAAACAAAGCAAAACAAAACAAAGCATAAACTAAAGCTTGAGAGAGAAAGAATGGAGATTTCCTACCCAAATCCTCATATTAGTTTTTTGAAGAAAAATATTTTTGCCTTCCTGTTTTTACTACTATGTGCATGTGATTTTAGTGCTATATTTGTGACACACAATGTAATATAGTTGAAAAAGAAAACCCTTCAATTTTGTGACTGAAGTATGTTAAAAAATAAAGAATTTCAAAAAGTAAGCATATCAATAAAAAAAAAAGAAGGGAATGGACCTCATGATGTATCATAGAATTGTACACCTGAAACCTATGTAACTCCACTAACCATCATAACTCAAACTTTCATTAAAAAAAAGTATAATTTGTAAGGTATGACACTACTTTTAACTGTTGCTGTTAATATTAACAAAATTACCTTAAACAAAGGCCGATCCAACTTCCTTACTCATTTAATAGCATGTTATCTTTAATAAATTCTTAATTAGGAATTGTAGAACCAAAGTTGAATCACTGTTTTTCAAATGACTCATAGCAAAAGTGACAAAATTAAACACCTACACACATAAACTCAAACACAAAAAAGTTATTAAGCATGTGGCTGTAAACACCACATGTAAATTAAAATTAAAGGCAATTTATGAAAGTGTTAAAAGGTGATAATCCCAAAACAGTGTTTTAAAAGCTATTAATATATTTTGACAAATGGATATAATATTCATATAATATAAAGATAGGCATGAGCTTTCATTTCATGCTAGGAGGTCATTTGACAAAATTAAACTTAAATTCTGTGTTACAAATAAAACAAGTCAAAAGACACACAATAAATAGATTAAGAATAAATGATATAAGTAGTCCATAAATCAGTAATCAAAATCTCACTTAATACTGAAATTCATGTGGTATCATACTTCGAAACAGTAATGAGAAAGAAATTCTCTTTCATACCATCATTTTATAGTGTTTTGAAGCTTAGGTTCATACAACAATATATAAAATACATATAAAATAGAGTTACTATAAAGAAGAAAATTTGCTTAAGATTAGTGCACTGCTGCCAAATAAATATGATAAAATTTTAAATTTTCTGGAAGCCACATCTAAAAATATAATAAAATGGGGGTTGCTAATTGAAAAGATATACTATTTCAGTTAAGCAAGATATTTTATATAAGTAAGTTTATAGCTCTGCTGTACAATATTGGACTTATAGTTAACAATGCTGAATTGTATACTTAAAAATTTGTTAAGAGGCTAGATCTCATGTTAAGTCCTGTTACAATTAAAGTTTTTAGAAGATGAGATTCATGTTAATGTTTATTTGAAACAATATATACAGAGGATATGATTTTTGCATGTATCCTTAAGGAAATATTTTATATATTTTCTGTTACCATGAATATTATTCTTGTCTCATTTGCCATGAGCTCAAACAGCTGGACAAAATGACAAGTTAAAAGGTGTCCTATATCTATTTGCTCCAGACAGATAATACCTTCATTGTGGAAAATAAAATGCCAGAACACTTGCACTGTATTCTGGAGGAAACCAGAGATTTCCTTAATGATCTATGTGCGTAAGCAGAAGTTTTAGTGTTTTTATTCTTAATGTGTAAATGATAGGGTGAGAAGAGAAGAGATGAGGGGAGAGGTTTTCAGTGGTTTGCAAAATACGAATATGATAAATAAGCTGACATTACAGCAATTTGCCTTTCCTGTTTGGTGGAAATAGTTATCATTTTTCAAGTTAATGAATTCTATTATCTTGACTGAGACCAAATCTTTTTCCAGAATTACGGCATAATATTGGTGATTTTTAGATTCTTTCATTATTTGGCCTAATGTAAAGACATTCATATTGTTTCCATGTAAAAATATTCTCTTGCCAAAATGTCCATGATCCCAATTGCAATCCCTGGTTTTCTTCTCACCCTTCTTTCTCTCTTACGTCTTGTGCTTTTTATTTTATTTTTTTCAAACTCACACCCTGCTACCATCCACCTCTATGTCTCAAAGTTCATATTCAAATGACTTCTAGACCTTTATGCCATTTCTTTCTCCTATTTAAGGCAATACGTCCAACTAACTAGAGAACATTTTTACTCATGAACCCTATGGTTATACTGGATTTGCTCCCAAGCCTGCTATTTTTTTTTTCAGTATCCCCAGCAAAATTACTATAGCTCACCAAGTGGTGCAAGGAAGACGTGTGGACAGCATCCATGATGCATCCCAGTCTTTGATTCTCCATATCCAATCAGTCATTAAGTTCTGTTGATTCCAGCTCCGAAATATCTCTGTAATCTGCCAGTCTTACTCTATCCTAACTCTTTCCAAGCTAGCAGGGACCTAACATCTCTTCTAGAGTGAACCTGAGTTCTGCTAAGGGATGTTTCTGCAAAATCAAACATTGCTTTATCCGATCTCCCCAGCCGACAAGAAGGGGATATACCATAGTTGTTTATCAACGAGCTTTTCTTAGGTAAGCCTGTGGACCTGTAGGCAGTTACCACGGCATTCAATTTTCAGTGGTGGGACAATGGTCTGAAGAATGGTCAGAAATGGTGAAAAGACCTTATTTTGATGACATCAGCAAATCCTTGGGAAATTCTGGGACCTGGGAATCAGTAGTATTTCCACCTAAGACCATGCTGTACCATCTTCAGTTGATGTAAATGCTTCAGTAATTTCCATATAATTTCTCATTTAAAATAACTTATATCCTATAACTGTGATTGTTGTCTTTTTGTATCTTCCTTCAGGGAGGTTTGATTGCCAACCATTTTGCTCCCTGGATCATGGAAAGAACTTGCTAGCGAGATTCTCTATTTCAACCCACACTGAGAATGTTCTCAGAATGAGCATTCTAAAATGCACATCTTTCCCATTGATTTGGGATCGTGGCAATCCTAAATAAAAATAAAATGATGATGATCATGTCTTTCCCAACTGAGAATTTGTGAGTGGCCCTCAGTAAAAAGTCCATATCCTGTAATGTGCCCTCTTAGAAAGTCATGATCTAGTCACTTCTCACCCCTGTGGTATCAGCTTCTAATTTCAGGTTAGATGCCACATCGTCTGCCCCCCCCCCCGCAAAGTTTATTTTAATTGTTATGTACTTTATGTATTTTATTATATGCTTTTGTTCTGGACTTTAAGTACTGCACCTTCTCAATACTCCTTAAGTTTGCAGTTCTGCTTGTCTTTCTACCCCACTAGAATGTAAGCAGTAGTGACAGAGACACTGCTGGCCCCAAGCACCGCCGGCTACCGAGGGCCTGAGATGGCGTGGCATGTTCTAAGTGCCAATGAAATATTTGTTAAATGGATACATTTGGGCTATTAATTAGATATTTTTTATAATTTAATCTTTTTATTCATATGCATTTTTATAAAATATGTTTTTTAAATGAATTTAACAAAAGAAAAGAAAATGCTTATTGAGATAAAAATCTGAGAAAGTGCGATTTTTAGCTAAATACAGGTAGATTTGTACAAGTTAATGGGAAAACAGTACAATGTCTATGACGTTTACATACATCTTATATAATTTTATGAAAAGCTTTTTTAGGAAACTTAGAGTATATCTGCCTCTGTTCCAGGATCAAAATATCAGGAAGTCATGAGTTTTTTCTAATAACTTGCTAAACAAAGAAAGAGAACAAGAGATGAAGGATTAGATTTTCTTGTTGGCTCTAATTCTTTTATTTTATTAATTAGTACTTTGATCTTTCGAACAGATGTTGACAACCTTTTTGAATCCCATAATTCAGTTTTGTGAAAACAGGCCTCATATGGGATGATTTTCTCTGTGGAGTGGTATAAAAAGTGATAGTCTTGTTTACACATGTTGACAATAATTTCTTCACAGTGAGAGAGAATTTGCATGTACATCTTGATACAAGGTTCAAATACCTAGAATAACTAGATTAGCAAGCAATTTAGGTGAGATTTAAAATTAATTTCTTTCCTTATATTTGTTTATTACAACTCCCACTTTTTGCTTATCATTTTTGTATTGAGGGAAATTGTTTATTAATCACATTTCAAGGAAATGATAATTTATGTCAATACTCAATGCCTATGTATTGATTTCAAGTTTATTTTTCAATTTATAGTTTATAACCTTATCAAAAATGTATTCCTCCACTAATCCTGGAAATAGATTTATTGAAATCTCCTATTCATGTAAGGAAACAGATTCAAATGTGGTGTTTGCTCCAAATCAGCATATTAACAGTTGCCTTTTTGACTAGCTATGAAAAAAATTACATGTTTAACAGAGTCCATAGCTCTAGTTGGTGGAGAAATGAATGTGACTGGTTTTTTAAATCAGGGTGATTAATCTGGGGAGGATATTTTAGTAAGCTGGCTCACGTGTGCCTCTTTTTATAGGAAAAAAGTCAGTACAAAGTTATTGATAAAGAAAGATGATGATATTTCTTTCCTTGATTATCTTTATAGTTAAATACTATTTGTACTTTTAAAAAATGATTCTATTACATACATCAGTGGTTCCCTAGTTTTGTAAAGTGGTGGAACCCAGTAAAACAGATGGAACCCCAATTTACAAAGCAAATCTAAGTGGTGGTATGTTTATTGAAACCTATACATATTCAGTTTCCTTATACATATGTGTAGGGTAGTTTAATTTATTAAAAGCATTTAAATATATATATATACACACACACACACACACACACACACACACACACACACAAAGTAAAATTCCTTCAGTGTTCTTAAGCCTTCATACATGAAAGGGATACATTTTCAACATTTAGTCAGATGTATGTGTTTAAAACAGAAAGTCTGGTAGCAAGGTAAAACGATTCCTTTTCTAAAAACCAAGACTGCATCTACCAAAGAGATAAATATGAATTTTTTTGCAATTTGCTATCAATCTCAATTGAAAAAATATGCCTTCGTTGTGATTATTCAATAAACTCTCCTATGAAAATTCAACACAACAATATTTTCATGAAGAAACTGCATAGTAGACAAGTACTGTCAACAAGCACTTTGGCCAGCTAATACATATAACCCTAAAAATGAATCCTAAAAATTAAGGATTAGTATCTCCATTTTTTAAGCTTAGAATACAAGTAAGAGGCAAAGCTAGGACTCAGACTTTTAAACCTGTCCCTTCACCCTGGCTACACAAAGTTTTAGACTAAGAAGAATAAAAGTGTTACCCTGAGGCAATGCACATTTATTATTGTTGGCGTGGATTGAATGAAAATATGTTTTCTCTTATTAGATTACTTAATTAACACTATATGATTATGATTTAATTAGAAATGTTATGAAGAGAAAGATAAATAGAAATAGAGCAATAATGTGTAAATTGCATGAGTTTCACGGGCTCGTTATGCATGGAGAGAAATATCTATTCTTTGAAGTACAACATTACAAATTTTAGGTCTTTCATCTTGCAACTAAGGATATTTTTGTTTGACACACTGTTAAAAGCACTTTAATTATAGAAAATTCAAAACAATAACTTGTATAATCAATTTACTTTAATTTCCAGAATTAATCATCCTCTCACTATGTGATCTTGACAGCGCATCTCTTTTTTGATAATAATGAACTCTTGACTGACAGACACATTCATGTCTTGAAAGAAAATAATGGAGAACTGATTTGTTCATAACTGCATTGCTTCACTTTTTCTATGATCAAAGATAGAGAGAGGAATTTATCTGATGTGGGACACTTTTCCTATAATCTTTGTATCGAAGGAAATCAAGTACATTGCCCCTAAGCTTTAAATGTATTATTTCCTTAAATGAACTTAAAGACTCATTACTTTAGCAAATACTTCAGTAACACAATAACTGTACCACAGTTATGCTCCCAATATAAGCAATAAATGTACAATGTCAGCAAATCGTAATGTCTGACGTTCAGATAAGCACAGGAGAAGGAAAGAAGGCAGAATTCTAGGCAGGGGGATGGGAGTGAGTCTTGATATAACAGCAGTGCTTTGAGGACTCGAAGAAACCATTTGGTCCATCAACAAAAATCTATTTATTATGTAATATCAAAACACTCTTTTGAAAGGGGCAAGTAAAGATATTTTTAACGTGGGAAAATATGTGCATAGTTTGATAGTTACCCTCTGTGGTGCCCATAAAGATTTTGGTAAAGCAATTGTAATTAAAAAAAAAAAAGCTAATAGTGGTAATGATAATAACAACAGTGATCTTTTTCCCGAATCAAAGATAAAAACCTATTTCTGTTTCTTTGTTCCAGATAATTCAGACCATAAGTGCAGTGGATAGAGATGAATCCATAGAAGATCACCATTTTTACTTTAATTTATCTGTGGAAGACTCAAAGAACTCGAGTTTTACAATCATAGATAATCAAGGTATTTCCATTGACTCATGATGGCTTTTGATCCGTTCTCCTGGAATCATACTTGATTTGAAGGGGTCTTACAGCATTGCATTTTATATTGTTACTATAACATGATACTGTTGAGATATAGAGCAAGAAATGGAAATGAAAAACAAAACCCAAAGTCAAACTGTGAAAACACTAGCCCCATTTTCTACTGGATGGCTTTAAGTTAGAAACCCTTTTCAAGTAATCAGTGGCTAGAAGTCTTTGTAAAATCTAAATGACCCTAAAATATAATTGCAGCTTTGGAACAATGTTTCCTTTTTTGTCATGGAACTCAAACTCCAGTCTATGTCTGGGAGGAAAGTGATATATACTTAACTTGTAATCATGTTAGCACAATTGATTCAAAGATACTTGGAGTCATTAGTTATAGCTATCAACATATAAAATTGATATTTTATATTTTTTCCTTCAAAATGAAATGATTATATAAATCTAAGGACAAAATGTTGTAAAGGATTTCATATGGAGAGAGAATTGATATTCCTTCCATATAGAAGTGGACTGATTTTTCAGAAAGCCACTCTGTTCTTTCTTCTTTCACTTCAGTAAAATATTTTATCATCACATGGATTTCTGCTTTAATTTTCTTCATATCCCTGAGATATGAATCACCACTGGGCTTATTACTCAAGCATCTGTAACCAAATACCTGCAGCCACCTTTCATGACAACCATATTAAATTTTGTTCTAGGGGAGATTTTTGCTGGGAGAATAAATGCAGACATATTATGTCCTCTTTGTCCTTGTCCAATTCCCCAGTGAAGGAAACTCAGATAGACTCAGGATAAACACTCAAATATCAATATAAGAAATAAGATGTAGCTTAGATTTATTTATGTTAATATAAAAATAAGGTACTGATGCAAAATAATTTTACTGAAACAAAGAAAATAATTGACCAGGTTCAATGTTTGTGGTTATATAAGTAAACTATACATTGAAAAAAATGTAAACTCCCCAATATGTCTAGTAACTAATGTTAAAAGAGTTTTATAGGCTTCAAGAGCAAGATGAAGAGTTTGTTTTAAAAAGATGATGATTTGGGAATTGTCTTAAGCAGGCATATATTTTGAAGAACTTCTATTTGTTTGCATTTTATAGTTTGTGTTTTCTAAAGTTTGTTTGATTTCTGCAGAAATATTTTGGGGGACAGAAATACCAAAAAACAAAAATAAAAAAACAAAACAAAACAAAAAAAACAGGAAAACACAGCACTGAAGCAGAAGAAATTGCACTGAAAAAAGTTATTTGGATATTTATACTATTGCCTGTAGTACATTTGTCTGGTTTGATTTTATTTTATCTTGTTGAAAAAATGATGCATGTGGATTTTTGTTTTAGATAACACAGCTGTAATTTTGACTAATAGAACTGGTTTTAGCCTTCAAGAAGAGCCTGTGTTCTACATATCTGTCTTAATTGCTGACAATGGAATCCCATCACTTACAAGTACAAACACCCTAAGCATCCAGGTCTGTGACTGTGATGACGATGGCAGTACACAGACCTGCGGGAATAAGGATTTTATGCTTTCCACGGGATTCAGGACAAAGGTCATAATTGCCATGCTGATATGCATTGTGATAATATTTGGTAAGTAGTGCTGAACTGAATATATCTTCGTTGATTGAAAATAACATGAAAAATATAGAGAATAGTTAATTCCGTTATAGCAGCATGCATAATATTTAGAGGGGGAGAAGTGGGGTGAACCAACAATCAGCAGTGTTTTTGAAAGTTTTATGAGTATTCTCTCCAATTCACAGATTTAGAATTTATTTATTAGATTCCTTTCTATTTCAACCACATATCTCAGATGAATTTTAGAGTAAGTATCTGAATGTAAATGTGATGACTTTATTTAATTCAAGAGTGCTGTCTCAGTATTTTAAATGTAAGTTTTATATAAATTATTGCCTAGTATATTTATCTTTATGATAATATTAATGACATTGCTTCAATTTTGGTTCAAGTCCTGTATATAAATTTCTGAACAGCCTCATAAGGTCCAAGATTGAGTAAGAATTAACTATCCTTCACACACACACACACACACACACACACACACATACACATACACACGCAGACACACACATGCGTGCGCACACACACAGATTTTCTTTAAAATAAAAATAGATGTTCTGAAATTGTTCTGCTTCTACTTGTTAAAATTACCTTATTAGTAAATATTGACTGTGGACATACAAATGTTACGATTAGAAACTTGATAGTTTGGAATTTCTGAAAAGGATGTGTTTTCACAGCGCACAGATTCTGAACCAACTATCTGATTTTGAATGGCAGCTTTCCGTTTCCTCGCTGTGTGAATTTGGGCAGGATATTTAACAGCTGTGTTCAGTTTCTGCATCTTCAATAGGGAATAATAATAACACATGGATAACATAACTAAACCTATGAATAAATGTAAAGCTTTTAGAAAAATGCCTGGTACACACTATGTAGTTAATAAATATAACTTAGAAAATACCCATGCCACAAAATTCCCTCAATGGGAACCATCAAACTGGTCCATTATGCTTAACTTCTAATAAACTGCATCGTTGATTACAAAATTGACAAACCCGTATAGATTGGAACATTTTCCCTTATTCTCCTTTATTCTATTTCCAATTGATAAGAAAAAAAAATGAAATTCTAAGTTTTAAATGGATCATCAAAAACATTGCACTGTGTTTTCATGATATTTTACTACTCTAAATCGTCCAGAATGACGGTTATACTTTCCTATATGATTCTGCAAGCCCCTGCTGTAAGTTTTCAACAGCAAATATATCTTTTTGTCTTGGAATCATAAAATTTAAGCTTATGTTTTGAGCATGTAACAGAAGCAAGGGTTGTAAAGTTTATTATAAATAATACAATACTTAATATATATTATATTCTATTATGTATATTATATATTATATTATATTATTATTATATTATATTATAATTAACTATGTTATATTATATTAGTGTTAATATTCTGGAATGCTTCCTTTGTCAGGGTTTATTTTTCTGATCTTAGGTCTGAAATACCGAAGAAAACAGTCCCTGTTTCCTGAGAAAGGTGAGGATTTCAGAGAGAATATATTCAGATATGACGATGAAGGGGGCGGAGAGGAAGACACGGAGGCCTTCGACATCGCAGAGCTGAGGAGCAGCGCCGTCATGCGGGCGAGGAAGTCCCGGAGAAGCGCCACGGCGGAGATCCGGAGCCTGTACAGGCAGTCTCTGCAGGTTGGCCCAGACAGCGCCATATTCCGGAAATTCATTCTGGAAAAGCTGGAGGAAGCTGACACCGATCCTTGTGCCCCTCCTTTTGATTCCCTCCAGACCTATGCTTATGAGGGAACAGGGTCGTTAGCTGGATCCTTGAGCTCCTTAGGATCGGCAGCCTCCGATCAGGATGAAAATTATGATTACCTGAATGAACTGGGACCTCGCTTTAAAAGATTAGCATGCATGTTTGGTTCTGCTATGCGGCCAAATAATTAGGGCTTGTAAATTAAAATTGTAAAAATGCTAATGTGGTGTGGGGCGGACTGGTAGTCTCTTGGTAAAGCATTGCATGCCCCAGTTCTTGGGGGAAAGAAAAAAAAAAAAACAATGACCTGATATATATAGTGTTTTCTAATATCCTTGAAGTAAATACCCTGTGGTTATTTCAAGCCACCCACATGTTGTCACTGAAGGCAGATGTGGAAAGAGACGCTGACAATCAGCTTGTGGAGGCCAGTGCAAGCCAACTCGAGCGTTCCTCTGACATAATTCTTCTAGCATTTTCTTCAGCACCATCCAATGCAGAGTCTCAAAGTTTGTGAATGTTTAATGTGAGAAAGGCACTGAACCTAGAGTATTTTAATATTATTTCATTTGTACCTTTATTAAATCTTACCAAGTAAGAGTGCAGTGTTTATGTGTTAAATTCCTGATACTATAGAGATAAACACCCAGGAGAATCTGGGTAATTACATAAAACTTGAAAAAACTATTTAGTTTACATGAGTAAGCAAGTTTCTTGCTAGGACTCTATAATTCATTCGAGTTTGATGTTTTGAAATCTTCGTCAAGACCACACTTTAAAACCAATTTCAAATTTAGACAGATAATTGGTATATGGTAATTAATCTAATATATAGTATATTGTATTATTTTTTGATATTACAGCTTTGCATAAAATATGTTTAGTTTTTCATAAATTGTTTTCATATGTAACCAAAATATATCTTTTTGATGTCACAAGACAATGACAGAATACATGTCAACATTTATTCATCATTAAATTTAAACTTTATGAAAATGATGGAAAGTGTAAAAAAAAGTAAATTTTATTGCTACTAAAAATGATAGAGGTAAATGGAAGGAGTACTAGATTGGAACTTGAATTGATATCCATTCTAAATATTATGACCAATTGCACTGAGTCTTACCATGCATAGGATAAAACATGAAAAAATTCTCAGCATTTCTTTTTTATTAAGGGCTTAGAATATGACTTATTCTTCACTATCTTTTTTATTATGGAATATGAAATTAGGTACAGTAGTTACTTTTATTATAACATTATGAAGGAAGAATGATAAGCTGCCAGACATAAAGCTTTATGGTAATATTAGATAATAAGATAAAACACTTTAATTTTAACCAACTTTTTAAGAATGATCCTTATTATTCTATTCAAATCCAGGTGGGGTTCAAAATTCATAGTTTGAACAGAAAGATAGCAGTGAATACAATGTCCTAATAATCGGTTTATATGTTCATTTTTTTTAATAGCATGTGAAACTAAGCTGAACCAAATTGGCCATATATGTTTAAATCAATATTTTGAATAATTTTGAGCTAAAGTTAGAGTAGTTGAATGGCTACAATATTTTTGTTCTGTACTTTCACATGTAAACCTCCATATCATGTAACAGAAGAGAGGTTTTTCGCCAGTATCAATCAGGTACCATTAATTTGGTGACACAGATATCATAATTTAAGAAAAGCCTAAGAAAATCAGAGGTGAAAAGCAGCAGTTTAGAAAGACATTAAAAGTAGATAAGAGGACCTCAGCTGTAGTAAATCCGTATGTATTCACATTCATATTCATATCACATTTACTTAAGGAAGAGTAAGAATACGAAACAAAAGAAAATTTAAAAAGAGTGAGCAAAATTGTAAAGCAAAATTGAAATGTATGAGTTGAGAGAACATTTATATTTCTATCATATTAATGTAAAAGTTGAAACAGTATAGTTAGGGAAGTTTTTATTAATTATACCATGAAGAATTTTTCCCTGAGTTTTAAAGATAATGCGAGGCAGTCTTGGCTGAAAGACTAGAAAGTATGATAAACAAAAGATGTAGCAATTCATGGAAAATAGATTTAAAAAATAAATAGATAGGGTGCCCTGGGGATGCAGAAGTTTCTGTCATGGATGAAAACCGTATACATAACTTTTCAATTTGGATGCACACCTTATAAAAATGCATGTTGGTGCAGTATATGCATCAACAGTGTTTAATGTTTGTGTCCAGTGGCATTCAGCAGATGTGTTAAAATACTGGTTTAGTTAATGATAAGATTGTCAATCATAGGATACACCACAGAAGAGCATAACTTGCTGCGTATCAGCTAGGCTGAACAGTGTCCTTTTAAACTATATCATAAAATGCTATGCAATTTTACTAGAGGAGTTACAGTATCCTAGATATTATACTTGGTGATATTTCAATAACCATTTTAATCTTTTTCCAGTCACATGGGTGTTGCAAGAACACAGCTGTATCCTAAGCTAAAGACATGGCATTACAATCTCATTTTTTGTAAATCTAAAAAAGGCTCAATCAATGCAGATATATATGAAAATAGCACAGCTTCACATTAATACCTGAAGTACTTAACTCATGGGGTTATACGTAAGGTTTAAATAACTCATGGTTGAAACAGGAAAAAATTTCATCCTTTATAAGAATCAGAAAAAGTTAGCAATAATCGTTGTTCACTCAGGGCACGTCCTTGAGCCTCACAGATCTGAGTTTCAATTAGTTCACTTTTACCTAAGGAACAGTGTGAATTTTGTCAACCTGCCTAATCTTTCTGTTTCTGAGTCTGTAATCTGTGAAATGAGGCCCGATCCCCCTACATCACATGACAGCTACGAAGAGGAAGTGAAACAAGCAGCATAAACGTTTGTACGTGAAAAACCTAAGGGGGCAGTTGAGCAGCATGATTCTGATGGCTGACGTCATTCTGCGGGAAAACGCAGACTCCTTTTTATTCTTGCACTGATTGATCCCAAGAGGTTCACAGCACATTTGAAATATAACTCAGTGTCCTGACCTGACCCATAAAGACATATATGATCCTGTCCCTGCTTATGTCTGCAGCCTCTTAACTCTTCCAATGTCATCTTGTAGGGCTTAAATTATCTTCCTCCAAAACTTCCTATTGTTCAATCCCTCATTTTATTCATGTCTATGATCATCCGGTTTTCTCAGAAAAGCCTAGCTGATCACTGTCCCCCACTGTGCCTCTTGCCCTGCCTCGCTCTTTATTAAATCACTTAGCCACCTGGAATTATTATATTATATATATTTCACTTTTTATTGTCTTTATCCCTTATTAGAATGTCAACCCTAAGTGGGCAAGGAATTATTAAGCGACAGGCCACTCAGAACCTACAAGGTCAGCTTCATGCTCTTCTATATGATATGAAGGGGCATTAAATATCACATCCATTAAAGGCTGGGAGACTAATCTAAGAGTTAAATGGAGGAAAGGAATATGTGACTTTCTACATTTCTAATTATGTCTGTCTATTCTATCTGTCTGTCTATCTATCATCTATCTATATCTGTCTTTTATCTATTGAGAGGCATTGTGATTTCCTGGAGGAGGGGAGAGTAGCACCTCAATCACAAAGTAGATCGGGACCTATTAGGATGTGTTGCGGCCTTTTACTCCTAGAGCTCTGAGGATGTGGGGCTGACTGATTGGGCTGGAAGGTCAGGGACAGAGAGGGCCGCCGCTGGGCATGATGCAGTTCCTAGCCTGTGACAGGCAAAGCTTCATGAGTCCCCCATGGGTTAAGTGACTGCAGCTGTGGAAATTTTGCACAGAAGGTAGGAGCTGAGAGGGAGCTGAAATCAGTCATCTAAATAATATGTCACACAGGCAAAGGCTCAATAGGAACCTCAAGTGCTTAGAATGTCTGCAGATGCCCCAAGCCAGCCTCAGGATAGAGGGCCAGCAGTTGGATAGTCGGATGCCTGTCATCACACAACTCTGGCTGTGAAATTATGAAAGCACCAGCCCTGCGACCTCTCTCCAGCCCTATGAAGGTCCAAAAGCAGCAGTGAAGGCAGGACAGGGTGAGAGACAGAACCTTACACGGGCTGTGAATTCAAAGTCTTCTGGTACCTGAAATGGGGACTTAAAACAAACAAAAAAAAACAAAACAACTATTTGGTAGTGACCAGAAACTGTGCGAACTGTCTGAGATTTGGCCAAGGTGGCCATCAGAGAGGTCAATGCAAATGTGTCTAAAAACTGAATAAAATAAAACATTTTCATGATGTCCCCTTCAAGTTACAAACTAATCAATTAACTGGATACATTAGCGTATCAAATAAATTTGGCATTTCATATAGTTCAAATAATTTAAATTTGGTTTACTAATATAAACCATAAGCAAAATATGAAAAAATTATATGCAATTTATCATGTTCTTAAAACATTTACGAGCATATTAAAATAACTTACACAACTTTATTTCATGCCATTCCTTTGTGTTCACTCATTTTAATATTTAAATTGTGATATGTTCTAGCAAGTTCTGCAGTGCTAAGTGATTTATATAAGGCTGCACATGGAAAATACCATTTATTCATGATACATAGATGTAAAAATCTATAGAATGTTTTGTCTTCAAAAAGCAGTGGAGATGGTGGATGATATTCACATAATTTCATAATATTACCTCATTGCATGCCAGGAAGAGGAAGCAGTTGATGAAGACATTTTTAATTATTTGCCAGTTGTTAATATCTTGTTGTTGTGTAAACTTTGGCAAGTTATTTGAAACTTTCTTTTTTGGTAGCTTCATCTGTACCATGTGGATATCAAGGATATATAACTCATCACACTATTGTAGGAATTCACTGAAATAATACATGTAAAGAATGTGCTGTGCCTAACGCATGGGAAACATAATGTTTTTACCTGTTCTTATTGCTAAAATAATAATTGTTATTATATTATTAAGTGTATCTTTAAAATGCTAATAGACCATCCTTCTTACTCTAGAATTAATTGGACAAAAAGAAAACAAATTAATTCAGGACAATATTTAGCCTCTTATTATGCCCCCCTCACCTTGACACTTCCAGAGTAATGTTGTGTGATTATCAAAGGAAAAAATTTAATTGCTCAAGTTAAATATTATGCATGAGATGTTCTGATTGAAAGTCACACCTCTATGACATTTATTTGTGGGGGAAAAAACTGCTAAGTTAAGTAGTAACCAAAATTTGAGGCAACTTTTTATAGGTACAGATATTTTAGAAAAAAAAAAACTATCAGAAAAGAATGGATTGGTTTTGCTCACTTTGTAACTAATGAAGAAATGAAATTATTTCTACTTGTGTATTCTATTAGAACTACATGGAGGGGCCGGCCGAGTGGCTCAGTTGGTTAAGAGCTCACTCAAGAGCTTGAGCTCTGAGCAACAGCGGTTCGAGTCCAGCCCCAGCTGAGCAGCCGCTGAGCAGCCGCTGAGCAGCCGCTGAGCAGCCGCTGAGCTGCCAAGAGGTAGCAGGATGGCTCAGCTAAAAAACAAACAAACAAACAAAAAAACTACATGGAAGAAGTTAAAGAAACATGTTATTGGCTCCAAGAGAAAGCTTTCAATCCTGTTGTTTATATTGAACATCTGATAACCATAGTTCTAATTTTATATTAAGAATTTAAAATTAAATTACGAAGCAGATTGTGCTCAGTACCTCTGACAATACAGAATGAAAAGCTGCACCTTTGGCTTCATCTACATTTCCCTGTCCTCTCTTTTTTAAAAACAAAATTTAAGCAAACATGCCATATGTTCTCTGATGACTAAGTTTTTAATCATCTCTCCTTCTTTTATCCAATCTTAGGGCTCAGGCAAGTTCTAGGCAATTGTCCAGCTCATATGACACCTCAGTTTTCAGAAACTTCT